GTAATTTTAGGTAGACGCAAGTATGGTTTTGCAGGGTAATGTACCAGGCGGCAAAACAGTGACTGTGGGTATCGATTCCCCCTAGGTCCGGTTTTTCGGGTTCAGTTAATGGACAGATAGATGGGCCAGCTAGTGAGAGGAGATTGGAGAGAGAAGGACATTGGAATGAAAGTTGACATCCGGTTTTCTGGGAATGGACAAGAAGGAGATAGAAAGAGAGAGAGAGGACATTGGCCTGAAAGTTGACGGAAAGAGAGAAAAGAAAAGAGAGAGAGAAAGAGAGGAATGCTTTGCTCCATGTCTTTTGCTGATCACTATTACTCTCTCTGCCTGAAAGCTGACATACTGAGAGAAAGAGAGAACCAGAGAGAAGAGTGCTTTGCTCCATGTTTTTTTCTGATCATTACTAGTTTGTGAGTCTGTGTGCAAGAGTTTATGGGTCAAAAGTTTCTGGGCGAAAGGTATGTGCAAGAAGGGTTCCTGGGTGAAGAGTCTGTGGGTGAAACGTATATGGGTGAAAAGTATCTGTAATAAGAGTTTCTTGGTGAAGAGTCTCTGGGTGAAAAGTATATGGGCGAAAAGTATGTGCAAAAAAGTTTCTGGGTGAAGAGTCTCTGGGTGAAAAGTATATGGGTGAAAAGTATGTGCAAGAAAGTTTCTGGGTGAAGAGTCTCTGGGTGAAAAGTATATGGGTGACAAGTATGTGCAAGAAGCGTTTCTGGGTGAAGAGTCTCTGGGTGAAAAGTATATGGGTGAAAAGTATGTGCAAGAAGAGTTTCTTGGTGATGAGTCTATGGGTGAAAAGTATATGGGTGAAAAGTATGTGCAAGAAGGGTTTCTGGGTGAAGAGTCTGTAATTAAAAAGTCTATGGGTTAAAAGTCTGTGCAAGAAGAGTTTCTGGGTGAGGGTCTCTGGGTGTGCAAGAAGGGTTTCTGGGTGAAGAGTCTCTGGGTGACAAATATTGGGGAACATAGGGATAGATGGGGGATGCTGGCTTTCGTTCCCCCCTTCTCAGGTGATATTTATAACCTACTATAGGAATATGTATGGAAATGTTACTGCTAACCCACCTCTGCTTGAGGCCTTCCGATGGTGGAGGAGACTCTGCAGGAGGTGCAGCGCATCGCTGACATTCGGAACGACTCCTCCCATGGAGCAGAGATCCAGAACCCTGAGCGGCTCGGATGACTCGGATGTCATTGGGATGGGATGTCACTGCCGTTGGCATCTGCCGTTGGCTGCCGGTGGCCGCATGGTTCAGCCACGGCTGAGGATGGTTTGCGCCATTGTGATGTGGACCTTTGACACTTGGAGTCACCGTGTTCCCAAGAAGCTGCGGATCTCGTGGAACATCCTGTTTGGAAATTGCCAACTAAACAAAATCTGCTGAGGCATTCGCCAAAGATATTGCAGATATTTGTTCATGAAGACCCTTTTGTTGTAAGTCATGATTTCTACCAACTTGGATAATTTGATACAGAGGACAACATCCCTGAAGCAGCTGCTGTATCAACTACCTTCGGCATGTTCTCCTGCCCTTTTGCATCTCGAGACTCAGGACCCTGTTCTCATCACAGCGGACCAGGTTTACACCAAGGAGACATGGATAAAACATGGGAGATTTGTCACGGACTTGCGGTGACACTTCAAACATCACCAACACCATGACATACCATAACGGCCATTTTTGAGGTGAGATCATTGATAGATTCGCTAGATTCTCTTCCATGACCCAGCCTTCAAATCTCCAACGAGTTGATTAATCGGATAGCCATGGCTAGCCATTGTGGCCACGGTGACCAGGAGCAGACCTTCCAACACATGATCAACAAAATCGTGGACAAACGCGATGCTGAATTCTTCTACGCTGCCAGGGGGTTGCTGCACTTGGACAGCTGAAAGGAAAATTCTGTGGTTTCAGTTTTCAAGACACAGAACTGGGGAAGAACTATGATGAACATTGATGAATTATGCAAGTCAAGAGGACGGCATGTGGTGGTCCAGCTTCCAACACTGCTGAGGTTCTTCTACTACTTCATGACAGCCCTTGATAAACTTCCACCAGCAACTGGTGTGGTCTATCAAGGTGGTGGGAGCTCTAGGGGAAGACGGAAGACAGCATCAAATATCATCAAACAATGGCTGGATGACCATGTTGCATTCAAATGGTAAGGTCCTCGCTTCGGAACGCGACCAATCGCTTCGGATCGCGCCTGATCATCATGATCTTCATCACCATCCACAGCCATGTGGATATATATATATATATATATGACATCATTATCATCATCACCACCACCACCACCATCATCATCATCATCATCATCACCATCATCATCATCATCATCATCATCATCATCATCATCAGGCCATCATCATCATCATCATCATCATCATCACCATCATCATCATCATCATCATCATCATCATCATCATCATCAGGCCATCATCATCATCATCGTCATCATCATCATCATCATCATCATCATCATCATCATCAGGCCATCATCATCACCATCATCATCACCATCATCATCATCATCATCATCATCTTATGTTTTCTTCTTTGTCATCATCACCATCGCCACAACCATTACCATCATCATCATCATCATCGTCATCATCATCATCATCATCATCAGGCCATCATCATCATCATCATCATCATCATCATCATCATCATCATCATCACCATCATCAATCATCATCTTATTTTTTCTTCTTTGTCATCATCACCACCACCACAACCATTACCATCACCATCACCATCATCATCATCATCATCATTACCACCATTGTTACTGTCAGTTGTGGCAAATGATGTGACCCGTAACCGACCCCCCAAAAGCTTAAAAGGTAGAACCATTGGTCTTATCTGGATTGGCACATGATAAGAAACATTCTTACACCCTGAACCATCAACAGTCGTGAACCCTAACCCCCCCACCCCCTAAAAGCCTAAAAGGTAGAACCATTTGTATTACCTAGATTGGCACATGATAAGAAGCATTCTAGCACCCTGAGCCATCAACAGTCGTGAGCCCTAACCCGCCCAAAAGCCTAAAAGGTAGAACCATTTGTATTATCTAGATTGGCACATGATAAGAAGCATTCTAACACCCTGAGCCATCAACAGTCGTGAGCCCTAACCCGCCCAAAAGCCTAAAAGGTAGAACCATTGTTATTGTCAGTTTTGGCACATGATGTGAACCTTAACCGACTCCCACATCCCCCCAAAAGCTTAAAAGGTAGAACCATTGGTATTTTCAGGATTGGCACATGAATAAAAACATTTTAACACCCTGAACAATGAAGAGTCGTGAGCCCTAACCCACCCCCCCATGCCCCCAAAAGCCTCAAAGGTAGAAGCATTGTTACTGTCAGGATTGGCAACGTTCTGTTTGTGTGGCAGGCGTGGCACTTTGTGACATCGACGTCCATGTTGTGTGGCAGGCGTGGCACTTGGTGACATCGACCTTCATTTTGTGTGGCAGGCGTGGCACTTGATGACATCGACGTAAAGACTACATTTCTCATTGGGGCCTTTTTTGATAGAGGCATCGCTTTGGAACGCGTGAGGTTTCCAAAGTGCTGCGCCTGTCAGTAAATCTGATGTTTGTTTTATTGGCTGCGGTCTGATGTGATGTAGTTTTTTGTGTTCCAAAATATGCCAAAATGGTTGTGTTCCAAAGTGATGCGTTTGACTGCGTTCCAAAGTGATCGTTTTACCCATTCAAATTAATTGTGGATGACTATGGGGTGTTGTGTAGTTGAATCATATTATGATCATGTCGGATCCATTGACACTCCGAGAATCACTTTCAGTCGCATTTTCGTCATCCCTGACATGGCCAGGCATTCCGCGCAAGGACATCACGGCGGCACGGGAGGTTGGGATTCCCCATCTCCATGTTTCTACCCTGCGGCTTAGCGTTTAGGAAACCAAATTGCAAAGTAGATTGGAAACAAGATTATGACTCAAAGATGACACAGTCCGAAAATTTGGCAAACGACGCTGAGGGTTGGGAAATGTATCCTATGTATCCCCCATCTACGCTATGATGACAACGGTGGCAACATAACACATGGGTTTTGGATGGTTTTGGGCAGTTTTCCGTGAAGCTTGCGTCGGAGGCCTTGGTGGAAGGTACCACAGTGACATGGCGTTCCTTCACCACAGCCCTTCAGCTCTGGGGAAGCATGGTCAAGTGGCAGCATTTGGATCCAAAGATCTTCGTCAGCCCCATCCCCACCGTGGGGGCATCTTTTTTTGTGCCGAATGTCCTGCAAAAACTGACAATTTCTGTGCACACATGGAGCACTGGGTCACCAAGTGTGAAAAATCCTGCACATCATCAATGAATCCAGCTTTGTTCTTCACTATAGGTCTATATTTACGATATTTTACAATAAAACCATGCAAAATCTCTAGCAGATGGTTCCGATATGTTCCGATATGTTCCGATATGTTCCGATATGTTCCGATGGTTCTCGCCCAGGTGGTTTATGAGCGTGGTTTGATCCTGCAGATCACTCTCTTGGCTCCAGAGTTGCGCTCCAAGGGTCTGCGATTCGAATCAAAGGGTCGCGGCTTGGATGGTCATGACGACTTCCCTGACTTTGTTCTAGCATGTCCTATGGGATCCTATATATATATATATAGAATGATATAGATAAGTATCTAATGGTATCTGTAGATTCTATCAGCTTCCATCTTTTTCAAAAGATTGTGGTTTTGGTTGGCAAAAGGTCAGGATTTGAACAGCCATGGATCAAGAGTGTTTGCCTCCCCTATAATATGTTTATAACGCATGAAAAAATGTGTGGCCGCATTCCCCCTGCGCCACACGCAGCTTAGGAGACATCAGCAAACTTTCAGCATTTTCCGGGTCAAGCGAAGTGCTCCTCATGCCCAACATCCGCATGCGCGTGGGTTGGAGGGCTCGGATGCAGTTCGGTGTTTGCGTGCGATAGCCGTGCGCGGAATCCCCCGAAAATACTGAACCTGCATTTGTATGCATTTGTATCAGTTGCTGAGCAAACATTTTTCGTTTCCTTCGCCCAGTCGTTTGTAAGGTCAAGAAAACACCTTGTTTGCGGTTACTACTTTTGAAGGTGAAGGTTCAGAATATGGTGTAAAGGTCATGCACGGTCGTGAAAAGAATCTTAGCATATTTAGAAACTAGACCTCGAGACTAAGACCCTTTCTGATCGTAGTATTGGGTCACAGAACTGGGAATCCCCAATACTGGCAGTTCTTTTCAGCATCTGGCAGTTTGGCAGCGATTCCCAACCATCAATTTACATCAACCAGAAGTGTCTGTGTTAAGGTCCAGAGGTGCAAAAGAAGGGCATGACGGTCATCGAACTTACGGAGTTGGAAGAGGAGATGAAAAAAATCCCTGAAATGTTGAGCTCGCAGCAACAATGTGTCTTAATGTGTGCGAATACCGGGTTCCCGCAGCTAATCGGAAATAAATAAGTATAGATGGGAATATGGAAATAGAATGAAATAAATATATAGATAAATAAATAGATAAATAGATACATAAATAAATATATATATATATATATACACCAGCCGACTACCAGCCTGAACTCCTCACAAATCTCGCCTAGCTGTTTGCATGTCTCGGCACGAGTAGATCTCAATGATCTCATATGCTGGAGGAAAAAACAATATACACACGTACATATCGTACATACACTGATGTACATAGATTCTACAAACCGACATTTTTGACAAAGGCCCGGACCTTGCCACAGAGGATACTGCCACTACTTTGAATGCTGAAGACTTTGACTAAAAGCCGCTGATGCCCAGATGGGGGGGTTGGAGGACTTGAGCCCAAAGGAGACGACCAAAACATACCAAAACCATGTCTCAACTGTCCATGCTTTGATCCGCAGATTCTGCTTGCAGCATTCTGAAAATTTCGACCATATTCTTTAATCTATTTTAAACTCCAATAGTGAGCCATGGAGTCAATGGAAGCTGTTGTGAGCAGTGCCAGTTCCTGGAGCACGGAAAGTGCTGCCAGTGAAGCTCTCGACAAGCCCAAAGTCAGCACCGTGGAAGCCTTTGTGAATTTGGTCACAGTGATCATCGGGGCGGGGGTCCTGGCGTTGCCCCAGCTGCCCCAGCGCAGTGGATTCGTTCTCGCCGCCCTGCTGCTGGTCATTGGCGGCCTGGCCGTGCAGGAGTCTTCCATCCAGCTCTGGAAGGCCTTGATGGCAGCCAATGAACCTTTGGATGATGAGAAACCCAGGAAAGTCACGACTTATGAAGCCTTGGCCGAAACTGCTCTTGGACTCTGGGGAAGGATTTTCACAGCAGCGGTGGTGAATATCTTTTTGTTAGGTGTTTGCTCTGCCTATGCTGCTCTCATTGGAATGCAGCTGTACAATCTAACTGGGATCTTTGATCAGCGGATCTGGCTCCTGATTGCATCTCCCATCTTTGTGATGCTCGCTTTGTTGCCCAACCTGTCGGTCCTGTCGAAGTTTGTCCCCTTGGGCATGCTGGCAGCTTGCTTGACGGCTGTCATGGTCGTGTGGAGGCCCGAGTTTCACAGCTGGATGTCGAAGGTCAGATCTGTTGACCCCGGTCAAAACGAGCTGGAGAAGCAAAGGAAAGACATTCTCAACAGGTTTCGGTGTAGATTAAACGATGTTAAAATATGTTAAATATCAAAAGTAAGCGAGAATGCTTTGTGAGGGTTGTCTAACCAAGAGGCCGCAAAGTTTTCTGCGCTCATTTCCACAGAGCTGGAAACAGAATCTGAGTTGAAAGCAAAGAGTCTCAAACATAACCTTTGCATTTATATGAATGAATTAAATACACGTGCACAGACACAATGTGTAGTATAAGAATGTATAAGAGAGTTTCCAGCAATTTCCATGGCAATTTCATGATCTTTTTATATATTTCCATATATTTCCATATTTATCCATGTCCTTTGCCAGAAATCTCCCAGTTTTCCGCCAGGGCCTTGGAAGATGCAGGCACCTGGCGCTCCTGGGATCAGGACGTCCACCATCTTTGGCCGTCGAGCTTCGCACCGTTGGGTTCTGCCACCGGGATAGAAATGGGGGAATTGATCCCAAAAATCTCATGTTTTTATATGTTTTACATGATTTCACATTGTTCATGGCTATATCATGATGATCATGTCCCAGGAATTCATGGATTTTGAATGATTTTGATATATTATGATTTCTGATTTCTGACTTTTCACAGGCCGATGATTTTGATGTCAACGAAGCATAACAAAGCATTGCTGGGAAATCACTGTGTCCACTGGGCGATCGATGTTGCACGGGCGAGTTTCCATTGGGATTTTAGCCATGAAACATGGGTGTTGAAGTCGAAGATGAAGTTCTTTCAATCTGGAAGTCCTGATTTGCAATGTCTATGTCTATCTATGTCTATCTTGGATTTGATCAGCAAAAAAGGGGCATATGGTCTGAGATTCGATCTCAAGAGCCTGGCCTTGCCCAAAGTCGCGTGTCAAAGGGTATCCTGAAGAATTGGACCTTGAAGACTCGGCCTCAGTAGATATTGGATCCTGAAAGCTAAGCTCCTTGAGATCCTGTGGGTTCAGCGCCGGGAACAACACGTGATTCATTTTCTTTACGATTTTCCTGAAATCCTGTACCATCCTGTACCTTTGTTGGTTCCAATACATCTTCAGAAATTACAAACATACGCTTTGAATCTCTTTGACATTTGCTCTTCATTTTCTGGGTTGGCTCCAGTAACATCTTCAATCATCTTCATCTACATGATTGACCAATGCATTTCCTATAGGCCCATTAATCTACTGTTCGCTTGTTTGGATGATTTTGACCTTGCTTTTCGGCAAAGTTGGACTCGAGATGAAGCAGAAAAATGAACAGCCGCCTTGTACTGTCTCATGAACCAAGGCTCTAGCGACATGTGTGGGAGCGTTTACACTCATTCCAATGGTACCTCCCATCGTCCGCGATATGTCGAAGCCACAGAACTTCTCCTGGGCATTGAATGCAGCACTTCTCACCTGTGGGGTTCTGTATCTGGGAGTTATGCTTTGCAACTTGGCTGCAGGGAAAAAACTCGGGCTACCTGCCAAAGATATTCCTCGAATCGTGAGCATTGAGACGGAACTGTAGCATGTTGCCAGGTTTTTGTAGTGTGCGGATTCAATATCTTAGAGATGTCAGCCCACGTAGTCAGGACCGGCCAGTACCGTACTTTGCTTTCCCTCAGCTGCATTCTCTCAACATCCTCTAAACATCCTGAACACAAGACACCACCAGACTTCATGTGTTTTTTTGCAATTCACATTTGGAAGATGACAGCTACGAGCGACAGGTGGTTACTACGGCTATGGTAGCTTTATTTCAGAAGACATCGTCGAATCGATGAGCCGTAGTCCAAGTTCATGGGAGGAAGCCATGTCTCAGCCCATTGCTGATTGGACGGGAGTGCAAAGACTATGGATCAGGGTCTTCATGTCCATCTTGATTTTGGTGAACATCACTCTCAGCAACCTGGCCAACATTGGCCAACATTGGCTAACCATTTTTCAATATTTTTAAAGATATGTTCAAGTGACTCTAGTGCCCGATTACACTGGCAGAAACGATGTCTTGTTAGCCAGCAACAGGCGACGAATGTTTGCCATGGGCCTGAAGTCCTGTGGGAACATGCTAATTACAAGACTTATAGCACTTCCATCAATTGCGTTGGCCACAAGTGTGCTTTCCGGGGTTGACAGAAGGATTGGAATTGCATTGGACATTACCATTGGCATTGGCATTACCATTGGACATTACCATTGGACATTACCATTGGACATTACCATTGGACATTACCATTGGACATTACCATTGGACATTGCCATTGGACATTTGGACATTACCCATTACCAGTGGACATTACCATTGGACATTACCATTGGACATTACCATTGGACATTACCATTGGACATTACCATTGGACATTACCATTGGACATTACATTACCATTGGACACATTGGACACCATTGGACACATTGGACACCATTGGACATTGCCATTGGACATTACCATTGGACATTACCATTGGACATTACCATTGGACATTACCATTGGACATTACCATTGGACATTACCATTGGACATTACCATTGGACATTACCATTGGACATTACCATTGGACATTACCATTGGACATTACCATTGGACATTGGACATTGCCATTGGACATTACCATTGGACATTACCATTGGACATTACCATTGGACATTACCATTGGACATTACCATTGGACATTACCATTGGCCATTGGACATTACCATTGGACATTACCATTGGACATTACCATTGGACATTACCATTGGACATTACCATTGGACATTACCATTGGACATTACCATTGGACATTACCATTGGACATTACCATTGGACATTACCATTGGACATTGCCATTGGACATTGCCATTGGACATTGCCATTGGACATTGCCATTGGACATTGCCATTGGACATTGCCATTGGACATTGCCATTGGACATTGGACATTGGACATTGGACATTACCATTGGACATTACCATTGGACATTACCATTGGACATTACCATTGGACATTACCATTGGACATTACCATTGGACATTACCATTGGACATTACCATTGGACATTACCATTGGACATTACCATTGGACATTACCATTGGACATTACCATTGGACATTTCCATTGGACATTACCATTGGACATTACCATTGGACATTACCATTGGACATTACCATTGGACATTACCATTGGACATTACCATTGGACATTACCATTGGACATTACCATTGGACATTACCATTGGACATTACCATTGGACATTGCCATTGGACATTACCATTGGACATTACCATTGGACATTACCATTGGACATTACCATTGGACATTACCATTGGACATTACCATTGGACATTACCATTAAAGTTGTCCAATTACTGTGTATCAAACCGGTTCTCGAAAAGGTAGATAAAGGTAGCACGGTCGTTGAATCGACTCACCTGTACCATGGGCCAGCGGTGATTCTGAGGCATGCCGCTTTTGGCCATGGCCGTATTCTATTCCATAGATCCTTTGCCGCAGTGTTTTTCAATGTTTTTTTCCATATTTTAATGATTTTTAATGTGTTTTGCTCTTGTTTGTCTTGTTTTTTCTATTGTTTGTTCAAAGTTTGTTCAAGGTTTGTTCTTTTTGTTGTTTCACAGAGACAGGACCAGACAGGACCAGACAGGACCAGACAGGACCTCGCAGCGCCCAGGAAAGCTTTGAATCGAACTATGTTGTGCCTGGTTCCTGGAGCAACTGGATGATGAGGATTAGCATTATCACAGGCGCATCCTAGTTCCACAAAGGGACTTACAGTCCATGTTGACGAGTTTGTCGTGGTCGCAGAGTTGGATACTTCTGATGATGGTTTAGCCCAGTTTTTGGCACCACTGGCACCACTTACTTCTTGGCAAACCCAATTTTATCATATTTTATAATATTTTATATACAGTATGAATCAGTATGACATGAATTACAAACAACATCTCCAAGCGGCACAGGTATCGTCGCCATGGCATGGGCTGTACCGCGTTTCACCGTGGTCTTTGGCGGCTTGGATAGTTTGTGATTTTTGACAAGGCTTGTAGGACAGCCAGACATTAGATCAGTGGATGACAAGCAGGATGAATCAGGAAAATGAAATGATCATGCGTATGAAGCTTGATCTAAAGATCTTTATGAAGAATTATGATTGCAAAGACCCGTTCATGTTGTATTTTGAACCCTTGCAAAAGTTATTTTGTCGAGTTTGGGAAAGAAAACACATATGTCATATGCCGTGAAAGCTATTCAAAGGAACGGCGAAAGTGAAAGTATATTTTCAAGGTTTTGGCCCAGAAGCTCTACATGTATAATGAATTACCCAGATAGATAGATAGATAGATAGATAGATAGATAGATTTAGATAGATTTAGATAGATTTAGATAGATTTAGATAGATTTAGATAGATTTAGATAGATTTAGATAGATTTAGATAGATTTAGATAGATTTAGATAGATTTAGATAGATTTAGATAGATTTAGATAGACTTAGATAGATTTAGATAGACTTAGATAGATTTAGATAGATTTAGACTTAGATAGATTTAGATAGATTTAGATAGACTTAGATAGACTTAGATAGACTTAGATAGACTTAGATAGACTTAGATAGGCTTAGATAGGCTTAGATAGACTTAGATAGACTTAGATAGACTTAGATAGACTTAGATAGACTTAGATAGCCTTAGATAGACTTAGATAGACTTAGATAGCCTAGATAGACTTAGATAGACTTAGATAGACTTAGATAGACTTAGATAGACTTAGATAGACTTAGATAGACTTAGATAGACTTAGATAGACTTAGATAGACTTAGATAGACTTAGATAGACTTGGATAGACTTAGATAGATTTAGATGGACTAGGATAGACTAAGATAGACTAAGATAGACTTAGATAGACTTAGATAGACTTAGATAGACTTAGGTACACTCAGATAGACTTAGGTAGATAGGTAGATAGTTAGATAGACTTAGATAGACTTAGATAGATAGACTTACATAGACTTAGATAGACTTAGATAGATAGACTTAGTTAGATAGACTTAGTTAGATAGACTTAGTTAGATAGACTTAGTTAGATAGACTTAGTTAGATAGACTTAGTTAGATAGACTTAGTTAGATAGACTTAGTTAGATAGACTTAGTTAGATAGACTTAATCAGATAGACTTAGCTAGATAGACTTAGTTAAATAGACTTAGTTAGATCGACTTAGCTAGATAGACTTAGTTAGATAGACTTAGATAGACTTAGTTAGATAGACTTAGTTAGATAGACTTAGTTAGATAAATTTAGTTAGATAGACTTAGTTAGATAGACTTAGTTAGATAGACTTAGTTAGATAGACTTAGTTAGATAGACTTAGTTAGATAGACTTAGTTAGATAGACTTAGTTAGATAGACTTAGTTAGATAGACATAGTTAGATAGACTTTGTTAGATAGACTTAGTTAGATAGACTTAGTTAGATAGACTTAGTTAAATAGACTTAGTTAGATAGACTTAGTTAGCTAGACTTAGTTAGATAGACTTAGTTAGATAGACTTAGTTAGATAGACTTAGTTAGATAGTCTTAGTTAGATAGACTTAGTTAGATAGACTTGGTTAGATAGACTTTGTTAGATAGACTTAGTTAGATAGACTTAGTTAGATAGACTTAGTTAGATAGACTTAGATAGAAAGATAAATAGATAGATAGATAAATAGATAGATAGACCAATAGATAGATAGATAGATAGGTAGATGGGTAGATAGGTAGATAGGTAGGTAGGTAGGTAGGTGGGCGGATAGGTAAGCTCGGTAGGTATTCAGGTAGGTAGAGGTAGATAGATCGATTATGATCGATTGATTTCTGGAAAGAGAGATCGCTCGATCGGGCGATAGATAGATTTATGAGGTATAACCCGAGATATCCCAAGATGAATAAGGAACATGTAACATGAAGTAGCCAAACCATGAGATCCGCCAGTTCTAGGTTTCTTCAGCTCCTTGGCAGCTCCATGCGTCTCCTTGATCCTTCCTTTGGTCATTGCAGGCAGGAGGAGCAGGGGGGAAATATGGGATTTAGCACATTGAAATGCGAATGCTGTAGATGTGATGTAGAATTGATTCAAATACATAATTTAATGCTGAGGAATTTTCAAAGGGTACGCTATGGAGATATCTCGCTGTTCGCAATTTGGGGTGTAGATCCGTTAGGTTTAGATCCGATACCTTTCAAATCTCAAAAAAAAAACAAAATCCCAGAAGTTCATGTCTGATTGCGGTATCACCAAGAGGCAGTACTGAAGCAAAAGAAACTGCGGGCATGAACGGTTTTTTCCCTATCAAAGCAATGCTGATGGGATAAGCAGTTGATCGAAACTATGGCAGCCAATCTAATGACAAGTGATTCCTGTCAGTTGAAATTGACGATTGAGGGTTCTGAACGTAGCAGCAGGCATGACCTCGGCTCAATTGACACTGACCTTAACTTAAGCCCATGCAAAAATAGACATCGGCAACATCAATGCCAAGTAATGACAACTTTCGCTTCGCGCCCGTATATGCAAGCACAGCACCCCTTTAGACACTTGTTGGCCCATTTTTGAAACATTTTGAGCAATTTTGACAATTTTGAACAATTTTGAGCAACTTTGAGCAATTTTGAACCATTTTGTGCATTTTTTTCGGGCCAGCTCGGGTCATTTCGAGCAATTTTGAGCATTTTTGTCGGGCAAGTTTGGGTCATGTCGAGTAATTCTGAACAATTTTTAGGAACACGATATGGCATTGTCGACCTTGGACTGTGTTCAAAATGTGTCAATTGAGGCTGTTTTGAGATCTTACTTTGGCTGAAAAAGGTAGCTGATGTCAACCCCACGGATCTAGACCCTAAAACGAGATGAGTGAATATCGTTTTTGGTAAAAGACTACAGTAGTACGCAGATACCTTGCGCGCGCGGACGTCATGAACATGTACAGTGCGCACGCATGTGAGCATGTGAAACATGTGTCAGCGCACGGTATGTTCAAGTTTTACTGTGCGGTCTCAATAGTTTGAACGCGTGATGTGCGCAATGTATACAATGTGGACATGCAAGTGCGCAACATGAAAAAACAATGGGTCAATACACACGTAAATCAGCATTTGCTTGACCACTTTGATCGGTCTGCGCCAAAACCTGCTTATATGCGGTGCACCACTGATGATCACCAGCCATCCTGTTATCTATCAGTTAGTCCGCCCATCCACCTCCACGTTATTGGTGCACGGGAAGTTTCAGATAATTTTGAAGACACATTTCCCTCATGCACACATCGCACACACCGCACACACTGCACACATCGCACACACCGCACACACCGCACACACGACACACCGCGCACACACACACACATACAATCACATACACACCACGCACAAACAACACACACACACACTGTACGCACACCGTACGCACACCATACGCACACATCTCGCAACCGCACGCGCACACACACACACCATGATGTCACGCACACATCGCATACATGCACTGCACGGTCGTCATCTACGGAGACATGCCTCTATAAACATAGGGTTCCATACCTTTTGAAAACTCATAAGACTAACTATATGTATATAATTTCATTGACAACTATATATGATTATATTACAACAATTAATTAAACAAGAATTGTGCATATGTGCTTAGACTTACCGCATGATGTTTGATGAAAGATAAAATTGATGTAGATACCCAGGTTTGGGAAATAGTCACATGGAAATTTACAGTGGATGGTATGGGCAGATCGAAGGTGCTACTTACAGAGAAAATTCTAGGATGGTAACACGCAGGGACAGCAACCTATTTTCTTCAAGCGGCAAACGAACAAATAGCAAGTCGGTCTGGGCGTGACTTGATGTGACAAGTGACATGGTGCAACTGTGGTTCCGCGATGAATTTCAAACAGCATTGTGTCCAGGTTGTGTTTTGGGGAAGGCCAAATGCTGGAGACGAACTTACCATGGAGTTCTTGTCCTGCTTGCTGTCTCCAGTATCGTGGCATTGCTATGAATATTATGTTTGCTCAGCAATAAAGTGTTCTTTTGGCAAAAACTGGTGCGCAGGTTTCTCCCGAAGTTTGATGAAGTTTGGCTTCACTTGAAGGTAGGGTTTGCAACATTTTGAAGAAAACTCACTGGGCGTGATTTCGAATCTCGAATCACATGTGGTCAGCTCCAAAATGGCTTGAAATTGAAGCGGCTGTGGCTGGAACAAATACAGCCACTTTCTGGTTCATCCTGCTGTCTTGCAGAAATTTCGGTGCTGAATCCGAGGTATGTTTTCTGGCATGTACACCTCTGTCATGGATGTTGCAAGCAGTTGAGTGCTGATTTTCGGCATTGCTTGGCAAATTTCCCCCAACAGTTTCGCACCGAACTGTTAGAAACTTACAAATATTGAGGAACGCAGGGGAGGCCTGCTCCAAAGACCCCTATATAAGGAATCCTGGGGCCATAGTCGTTGCATGCGCTACCCTTTGAGCATGTTTTATATTAGTTTTGTCCTTTTCATTTAGGATTTTCTTGGATGAAGTCTCCTTGACAGCGGCTCACGTGCTGCTCCGAGGTTGTCTGCAGCATGACGATGTCTTCGAGCCTTCGACCAGCTGTTGACTCTGCAGAAGCTTTACATCTCTGATTCGAACCCTGTGTCAAGTATTGTAAAGTTGTAAAGTAAACTCTGGGACATACTGTAAATACATCACATCTTCTTTTGCTGGTGACGTTTAGTCGTTTTAGTCTTGTAACTGAACTTGGGACGTGCGGCCATTGTATAGCTTTAGGCTCTTCCCTCAAGTTACAATACAGCACAAAGCCTTGCATCACGTTTCAAGCCGCTTGCCTCAGCGGTTTGGGCTGCAGTTGCTCCCAAGCTACCGACTTGGTGTGGTGGTACATCGTGGGTACTTTGAATGTGTTTTCAATGCCCAGAGATTTGAGAAATTGCAAAGGTTGATTGAATTGATTGAAAAGCATGTCTTCACTGTGAATCAAATGCTTAAAGCACCCTTAACAGCGTTTCTGAGTTGTATGCACGGAAAAACATGAGCATCTCTCTCAAATCTCCCTCACTTCTTATCAAATCCGAGTGGAAGACAAGCTTCCCCTCACATCATTCTTGCCGACAAAGAAAACAAACAAAACGCTTGATCCGATGACGGGTTGGGTCGTTTCGTTTTGTACTTGACCCTGGATTTAACCATCTCGCCACATTCGCCTGAGGTCGGCAATGCGACAATGTCAGTGATCTAGTGAACTGGACGCTGTTTTGGAAGCATTTTCCGGCGCCAAAGGAATCAAGCAAAATTGCATAAAATTACGATCAGGCAGTCAAGAGGTTGCTGATTTGGTGCTCTGATCTTCCACAACTGAAAGTTATTTCGTTGACATATAGTGCCAAGAAAACAGCATCAATGCAGAGGAGATTGCTTTCATATTGGTTACTGACCATCGTGAAGTCTTCGACAAATGTCGAAGGGCGCTCTCATAGAGATGCGTTTGGCGTTTGGCGGTCTCACATTCCGAGGTCCCAAGGTGGCAGCAAAAGAATGAACAAACAAGTCCTGGTGAAGATTTTGGTGACAAGTCCTTAAGCAAAGTCCATGCCATAGGGTGACCTCCCAAACTTGGGGATGGTTGAGAAATCCTACCCTTTTAAGCTCATCTCATCCTACTTCAAGGTCATTCGGGATTATTTACTATGACATTCTATGTATTGAGTTTACCATCCGCGCACATTCCAAAATTGGAATCCCAAGAATGACATGTGCCATGGTCAAAAGATGGATTATACAATTACCCATATATTTTGGGATGGTCATCAATCCCTTTGAGTTCGGGATTTGTACACCCATTGTGTTCCCATTATGAGATTGAGATGGATGACCATACTACATGTACCAGGTACCATTTTTCCATCACGGCAAATATGATTGTATAATATCCCCTTCCCCCAATTAACATAGACCCTGAAGCTAGCCAGTTTTTAGTAGAAATGAATGTTCCATACCCCTATTTGGCAGGGTCTATGAAAATTTACTGGAGGGTATATGTCAATGTATTTACACATACGTGTATATATATAATGATTATAAAATATTATATATTATATATATGGTATATATATATACAGTATGTCGTATGAAAGAAGCCTGCCCAGTGGGAGAATCGTCCAGTTCTCGGTTGCTAAGGGCTTGGAAGCTACGTGCCGTGGTCAAGGCCTAGGCTTCAGCCGAGTGGCTGTGCAGGTGTCCGGAGAACTGGGATGATCATGGAAGAAATTCACCATGTGCAGATGATGTGCCTACTAAACATATGTGGATGGGTCAAAACCTATTAGTATCAATTTTAATGGGATGAACATCCATTTACCAGCTGTTTTGTGGTTCACTAGGTACCAGGGTTATGACTCATAGCCATATAAACATACATGAACATTGCAATTTTCATCCATTTTCCATGGCTATGTTGGATTACCAGAGGGTAGACCAAAACAGGTCGGAGTGGACATTGCTTGTCAATGAATGTCAATGGACCATGATGAAGCCTTGCAACTCGATCGTGTCAGCTTTTCAATCTCCTCTCAGGCCATAGGTCTGTCAAGCCGATGAAACCTCTCCAGGTGGCTAGTGACTAGTGGTTGAGTAGGTTTTAGTAATCTTTAGTCCAAGAAAATACCAATGTCATCCAATGTCGTGCGTCTGGTACCACATTTGCGAGCCATACGGCATGCAACCATGCAACGCCCAGGAGCCATCCGAAACATTGTGGGAGGTGTTGCAGCAGCTTCAAGAACTGCCACCGGGACTCAGTACCATGGTTTGGTGTTTTGACTTAATGGGATCCAAACATGATTGAGACCCATTAAAACATATTAAAACCTATTAAAACATATCAAAACATATTATAAAACATATTATAAAACATATTAAAACATATTATAAAACATATTAAAACATATTAAAACATATTAAAGCAATGGAAGAGGTAGCTTGGAATGCCAGTTGAATACGACCGTACACATGCATGTGCGTGCATCTTACAACCACGTCATGCAAAGTGTTCAGCTATTTGTTCCTCATCGCTGTCATCACCATCAGAATGGAAATACATGGAAATACATGGAAATGCAATACCAGTTGAAACATGTTGAAACAGGTGTTACTTTCACATATTGCCATTATTTGCCATTGTTGCCACTTCGAAGTGTGACGTGGGGTCGGTGCATTAGGCTCAAGGTTTGCCACTTGGCCCTCGCGACATGCACGGATGGGGAGCCACAGCTGGGGCTATGCCCTTGCGAAGCTGGACACACCACGAAAGCCAGAGGATCTGTTGGGTGTTTCTCCTGAGCCGGATCTTTGGGACGAAGAGGATGACGTGGATGCATTCAATTATTATTGGGATTTCTATGGTTTGGGCTTCCCGGAGATGGACTCGATTCACTCCACCAAAGTAAAGTTTCCGACCAATGGAAGGATCAAGCGCTTTCTGAAACAGAGCAGAACAGAGCAGAGCGAAGGAGAAATTCTAGAAATGTCTTTTGATGTATTTTGATGATTTTGATGGATTTGTCCATGTCTTTTTGATCTTTCCTGCCACTTTGTACAATGGATGCTCTTGCTCTAAAGTAGTGGAAACAGAGCTAAGCCATGCCAAGCCGAAGCATCATCCAAACAGTGTCGAAAGCCATGCACAAAGGGAACCACCGCAAAATGCAAAAGTGGCTCCTGTTTTCAGTGGGTGTGAACCATTGTAATTCAATGTCATATGGCCAAATCCAAATTAATCAAGCTACAATATGCATACACGCACACATACAATGTATACAGTTGAGGGCTCAACTTGGGCGTCTGTGCAGCGGAAGTACACAAACACACACACACATATATATATATTGTATATATACAAGGTTTTTCCTTGCTCTGTAACAGTCAATAAAAAGTTTTCTTACTAAACATATCCTCCAAGTGGTGCACCATGAAATCACGTTCTTTTTCATGCTTGCGAACACGTAGGAAACTGTCGACCACAAAGCCCGTCCATCCAGCTCAACTGTAGTAATTTCTGGTTGTCACACATCACACATCACAATTTCAAGATGCGCGCTGTTCTTGGCTCAGCGCCGCATTTTTTTCCTTTGCTTGCGCCAACCTCTGGATTGGCATAGAACAAATATATACTGTAGATATAAATCCATCGTGCTCCAAATGGTGCTTCAAATCTTGTTTTGTTTGCTACTTTAAAAGGAAACAACACAATTTATAGCACATTTTTTTGCACCAGAAAAACTGTTTTTGTACATTTCTTCATGCAGCACATGTTTTGTTTATTTCTTCATGCACCAGATCGTGTTTTTTTCGGTGCGTTTTTTGTGTGTACCATATCGTGTTTTTATTAATGCAATTCTTCGTGCGCCAAATCGTGCTTTAAATCGTGCTACTGTAACAGAGCATGGTAAAATCATAATACGTACTATACATATTGGAAGTGTTGGAGAAGATGATGTTTCTCGAAACTGCTCCTGAGATTGAGCTCAACATGGTTCAACATGGTTCAACATGGTTCCACCTCTTTTTTCAAGGTACTATGTGCAATGCTTCGACAGAAGGCTGACGTCCATCACAAAACTTCCAGAGGACGCACAGCAATAGATTTGGCCCGCGCAGCTGCTTGATTTGCATCAAAAAGAAGAACCATGTGGAAACTGTTGAATTTGAAAAATGATGGAAGATATCTCCAACAGACAACCATAGTGATCCCAAGCAGCATTTTTGTTATTGTGCGAGATTGGACTCAAGTACGAGTTGGTATTGCAGATTCTTAAGAAGACTACGACATAAGTAGAACATAGTAGAAGCATCTATCATTGGAATGTTGTGATGTGAAGCTCAAACGCTGCAAGATGTACCAAGTAACCAAGTATGACCAAGTTATCCACTTTACAAAGCATGGACCTGTTCAACATCGACCCGTTAGATGAACATAGATGAACTAGTGGGATATTCCTACAATTGAGGCTGAAGTTGTTTGATGTTTCTCGTTGAGGCTGACTGCTGCGGCTCCCACAGTCAGATTATGTGGTTTCTCGAGGAGGTGAGATTTGGGAACGCTCGCAGTCTACACTCACTTCAGACATCGCGTCAGGAGGCCGCAGTTTGAGAGGACCTCAATCATTAAGATCATTAAGAAAAGCCAAGATTCATAAACCTCCAAATTACTAACGTGGGACGTGGGGTACCATTTACATCCATTTACAAGTGGAATAATCACTATGGAGCTGCCTAATTAATGAGCTTAGCTGGGTATATTCATCGGGGATCGACACGAATGGGTTTGGCAAGGTGATTTCCCCCTTACTAGCGTAAAAACATATCCATAGAATGATAGTCAGCATATGGAGTGATATACTATTGATATTCATCAACGCGGCTGAGACCTATGACATAAACCCGGCATGTCCTACTTGTTTCATTGCGTTTGAACCTGACCCCAGCTCATCAATCAACGTGGGTTCCAGTCTCGCGGCGAAGGTTCGAGTGGCTGTCCAAGATCAACAAGCATGCTGATGTCCAATTGCTTCTGATTAGGGTTTGTCTGAAAATAGGGTACCCCCAAATCCCCAGGGTTCATGAACATTTTCCATATTTTCACAATGAACAAATATTGAAAGAAAGGTCATTCGCGGTGCCCACCCATTTCCAGACAAACCCATTTACTCACTCCGGGTGATTTTTGAAGTCATATTCTCGCCCTTTTTGCACTTGGGGATCGATGTGCTGCATAATGCATCACCGAACCTCCGCCAAGAAGCAAGTTTGGAGAAGGTTTAGTTGCACCGATTTTTTCTCCGCTTGTTATAGCACCGAATCTTTTCCTTTTTTGCCTGTCACCCTGCCGTGGTTTGGCCGCAGGTGTCCATAGAAACTAATCTCACCGTGAAAAGGAGGAGCTTCACTGCTGGGTATTTCAAACGAAATGGCTTTGTGGTTTGTGGTTAAAGAAAAGTACAAGGTTTGTTCTATGTTTCACGGGGATATGGGGACTATAGCATACTCGATCCACAACCCTTTGTAGCAATGCCTATAATACATATATATATATTATACACTCATCCATATGAACCCTCCAGCATTCCTTATTTTGGTCATACTTTCCACGAAAACGCCAAGGCCAAAGTCGCAGAGCGTGGTGCTGGTGTGCCATGATGGAGATCTGGGGCCTGAAATCGTCTCATAATTCACCGGGGATCAATCGCTACTGTAAGGAGACACAGAAAGAGAGGTTGATAAGTTTGATGAAGTTTCTTTTTTTGGTATTATTATATATTTATATTTACGCAGAGAACCGGACGTTTGCCCAGAGCCTATGTTTTCTCGCACGAAACAACCCTTTTCTTGGCAACGGAGGTAAAATTACGGTGGTCGTGATGGATGAAAGATGTGTTGAAACAAACATAAATAGACCGTGGCAAAAAATGGGATATTATGTCATCTGGGCGAACGTTAGGTTCTGCGGGTATGTTTAATATATTATATATAGAAACATACTGAAACATATACATACATACATACATACATACATACATACATACATACATACATACATACATACATACATACATACATACATACATACATACATACATACATACATACATACATACATACATACATACATACATACATACATACATACATACATACATACATACATACATACATACATACATACACATACACATACATACATACATACATACATACATACATACATACATACATACATACATACACATACATACACACATACATACACACATACATACATACACATACAACATACATACACACATACATACCACATACATACACCACCATACACACATCATACACACATTACATACATACCACACTACACATACCATACACATGCATACTACACATACATACACACATACATACACAATACATACACACATACACATACATACACATACATACACATACATACACATACATACACACATACATATACACATACATACATACATACATACATACATACATACATACATACACATATACATACCATACATACATACATACATACATACATACATACATACATACATACATACATACATACATACATATATATATATATGCTACCCCCCCCGAACCTATGTTTCAGAAGCTGCGACCCTGCTTGAAGGCATACTGCCATGTTGCAATGATTTGAGCAAAGAAGACGGCAGGTGCTGTTGATGACACGGCCAAGATGATGAGTAGCAGTCCGAAACAAAATGACATGTTGTTCTCCTGCAGTGATCAGTATCCAAAAGTCAACTGACAAGGTGGTTTATGATAATTACCCCTTGCATCTTTTCTGAACACTATTCATTTCATGTGGTCAAAGGCAACAGTGACAAGGGGGTTCTGTGTGGACTTTGAGAAGTGAGCTAGCAGGTTGTTTTCCTGAAGACGTTGATGAATGACCAGTGTTCAAACATAGAATGAACTGGTGGCTTCTGGTGATTATCCCCTAACTTTTTTTGTTTGAACACTGCTCAGGTGAATGTGTAAGGCAGGCAGCAATGCTTTTGACACAGATGGCGATGCGATGACGTTTTCAGGGACGGAGCTGGAATTTGACCATTTCCCAGGAGCAGAGCACACCGGTTGCCAGCCAAAGGTCGTCGTTCTTGTGCCAGTACTCATACTGGGCGGACCTCAACTTGGCACGGAGAGCTGCAGAACCAACTTTGCAATTCTGGTTAAGAGGGAGGCGATCCTTCAAAAACTTCCAAGCTCGGTCAATGATCTGCGTACCGGCCTTGCACTTAATTGGCTTCTTCACACCTGGAACTTTGTGCGTGACGATGCGGACGTAGGAAGGGTTTTGCCACCGCCATTTCCCATTGATCTTCACCCTCTTCTTGGCGTGGATGACATTGTCATGGACGACGCCAGGGATGTGCATCTTGTAGGTCTTTGCAGCATCGGTGTGCAAGATGACCTGCTTGTCCTGAAGGTAAGTTTTCGCAAGAGGAGCCCACTCCACCTTGCGAATGGCACCTGGGCCAGGCGCGCGTTTTTCGGACATCCTGGGCACCAGGCGCTTCAAGACCAAAGACTTGGGATCGCCCCTTTTGACAAGCCCACACCACTGTTCCCAAACAATGGGCAGGTTCTTGTCAGGAGCCAAGGCCTTCAGGTCTTTGCGATCAAAGGTAGTTTCATCGGCTTCGACATCACACCATTTCGGGCCACCACCAAAGTTGATGCCTTTTTCCTGGTGCTCGACCCAGCGCTTTCGAAGGTCACAGAACTTCTTCTCCATCAGCTCAATGGACTTGTGGTTGATACCGAGGAGGCGGTGGATCACCGGATGGGAGACCTTGTTCAACTTGAGGAGAAGAAGCGCAGCCTGAATCCGGAGAGATGTAGAACCAGAACCATTGCCGTCTGTGAAGAGCGGGTGGAGGTGGTGCGGATTGATGTAGACTTGGCAGCGGAACCTGTTGCAACGATGTTTGGGCACGCCGCCAACATCAATCTTGGCCTTGGACAAAGTGCCTTCTCCACACCGAGGGCATAGCTTACCTTCCCATGACGTCAGCAAGCCATCCTGTAGAAGCATATTGATGATCTCCTTGTCAGACGCCTTGAGCAAGTCCACCATGGACCTTTTCCAAACATGTCTGTCCATCCTGAGCCCTGTAGGATCTACCTCAGCAGGCTGTCTAGTGTAGGGGACATTCTCCCAAGCTTTTGTCTTCTTCACAGCAGGGCGCTTGAGTGCAGCACGGCCTTTTCCACGTTTGGGGGCTGGGAAAGGTTTGAACTTGCCAGCAGGCCGCTTCAAGATTTTGCGCACCCCTGCGCGCTTCTGAGAAGAAGTACCGCTCCCTTTTGCCACCATGATGTCAAGGCTGAGAAGACTAACAAGTCTTGGATTCGGAGATCAAAAATGGCTGCAGAATACATCATATGACAATGTGGTCGAATGCGCCAACATGTGTGACAAGCAAGGAATGTGATGGCTTTAGAATTGGAAAAGGCACTGCATATGCGCATGAAGCACAGACATGACAAGATGAAGCTTCTGTATGCAAAGGCAATGGGCATGAACTGAAACTCACAAAAGGGATGAGGCACACCTTTTTTCCTTCATTGGTATAAATGGTGAGATACGCAGAAGGCATGAATGAACGCATCATATGCACAAACACAATGTCCAGTTGATTGCGTCAAGATGTGCAATGTGCGGGGCTCAAAACTGAACAGCTACACCTCCAGCTCACTCCATGGCGCCAAATTCGAAGACGTCAGGGCATTCTTCTTCCATGACCCCCTCCAGAGCCTGTTCCAAGGACTCTTTGTTTGGGGCAGCATCATCGTCAGGATCAAGGTCAATGACAGATTTGCTGGCTTTCAGCTCAATGCTCCAAGCTCTGGCAGCCTTCAAGGTCTTCCTTTCAACAGACTCCTCCCGCTCACGTTTGATGGCAACCCGCGGACCTTCCAAGGAAGTGACTCTTTCCAAGCAACTTGGCTCAGGACGACTGTTTTCAAGAAGACCACGCACCTTTTGACGATGAACCCAGTCAGGCTGCCGCTGCTCCTGAAGCTTCTTGAAGATGAGGGACAGCCACGCCTGTTCCTTTTGAACTTCTGTGTCGAACCTGGGGGGAAGGTCCTTCACATTGTTCTTAAACTTGCCGTACCACTTCTTGCCTTCGTCCGTCAAGTAGTCCGCCCCAGGAATGCACTTGCGAGGGACTTGGTCATCATTCACACCATTCTTCCTGTAGTAGACGAACTGCTTGGTATTGACAAGAAAAGTGGCACGTTTCAAGATGGCATCCACATCAGCTTTGCTGGCTTCTTTGCAAAGGCAAGGACGCACCATTTCCCAGAAGGTCTCGAACTTGAGCACAGGGATGAAAGACTCGCCTTCGTCGACACCGGCCTCATATGCATTGGCAGCCAAAGCACGACGTTGGTTCTGAACCCATTTCACAGCGCCCCAGCGAGCCCATGACATACTTTCATAAAGGCCGACATCAAGCAAAGACTTCAAAGCTTTCAAGCCCAGGGTTTGGGTGCATGGATCATCTAGGAAGTCGCCCATGATAACAGTGCCTGCCTCACCCCTCAAAAAGTCAATCTCTGGACTGCACCTGATGCAAGGCTCGCCATCCACCTGGTACTTCTTCTTGTTGAAGCGGCATTGGGCCATCAACACGCTCCGGCCAAGAGGACTTTTCCCACAAGCAGGCTCACCAAGCATCACCAAAGCAGAGAGGTCGAAGTTCCAGATGCCCTCCAAGATCTCCAGAAGCCAGGGCTGAAAGAACATAGGTGTCAATGGCAATGGCCATGCAAATTCTTTCCGGGCCAAAGCACCTTCAGAAGACAATTGTCGAAGAGCCTCCTGGACAAGGTTCTGCGGCCAGCCGAAGATGGGGGAGGTGGACTTGCGAAGCTCCTTTGTTTGCCAACGTAGCCGAGCAAGATCACAAGAGCTCCTGGGAGCATGTTTGGCGATGAAGTCGAAGCCTTGGTCTAAGCCCTCATCTTCCAGATCATCAAAGACTTTGCGGCTCTTTGCTGTAGGTGCATCGGCTGCAAGATCGAAGCATCGCAGGTGTGTGCCACCCATGTTCTGCAAGCAGTACTGCAAGATTTTGCGGCCCACGGTGGGTACGTGCATGAACAATGGTCTGTAGACAGTGCCATACACAAGCTTTTTCACGACAGAGAGCTTGGACTTTTGAGGGAAGATAATGTGCTTGATGATGATGTAGGAGCGAACTCGGACAAGACAATTTGGATCTTGCAATCGCTCTGGACCTTGCTACGAAGCCTTTAGTCTTTGTTGAGGATGGCGTCCTTGTACTTTCTCTCCAGCTCTTCAATGGTGATGTCCAAATGGTAATTCTTCACCACATCCAAGTAGTGCACAGAAGGGTTGCAATCCACAGAGTCCGCTTCAGTCATGGGGAAGTTGAGGTGGTGAAAGATGCCTTGCGGCGCCTGACAGGTGAAGGGCGATGCCAAAGATCGACATGCCATACCATCGACGATCAGGTTGAAGTCGTCCAGGGTCATATCCTCAGGGGCCTTAAGCATGGCAACGAAATGGCGCGAAGAACTTGGAGAGAACGAAGTTTGAGTTTGGCGTGCTGAAATGGCATTGAGAATTGCATATGGGAAGGCAAAGTGCTGGAACCAGATGGTATGAAAATGCTTCCTTATGCGTGGTTATCATTGTCAGACAAAAGCAGATGTTACAGTATCTGTCAGTATCTGTGATGGTCATACGAGACTTGAAAACTGCACAACGCTCACACTGCAGTCTTTTTTCAGGCAGGCTTCAAACTCACCAGCTTCATTTCACGCACCTTCTGGCGTGCAAGGCGCGACTAGACCCACCAGAAGTTCTGGCGGCGTCATGGGTGCAAAGGTCGGTTGGGCATGGGACCTGCGCATTTCTGCTTTGCAATGTTCCAACATTCCAGCCTTTTCCTTACGGGCTCAGGTTGGCAGAGGAATCGTGGCAGCACCTTGGCTCTCCACGTTCGTCATGTCAGAATGCGCTTGTTCATGCACACGTAGCCACACAACGCCCGAACTGGCCCCCTTGGTATGAAGATGATTTCTGGGAGCTTCTGGTCTGCATTGGCTTCCTTACGGATACATAGCTTCCACTCACGCACCGTCACTTCTGCACAGCTTCAAGATTCAAGCACCTTGCCACACTCAGGTCTGCGTGGACTTTTCCAATTAGATTCCACGAGGGGATGCTTCGAACCACCTGGCCTGGGACACCACCAGGCAGCCCGCCACCGACGCCCCCGAGCCCACACACTCCTCCGGGCACGCCTCCACCTACACCACCTACCGCCCCGAGTGCATTTGCGCGCACGCAATCCCATTGCAGAAGCACAGAGAAGTTTACTGAACTGCTGGATGGTAAATGGCTACAAGTTCAGGTGAAATATGGCATTCTGTAGCAGAATAACTATTGACACAGCTTGGGGTCACTTGATTTTTTCAGTTTTTTCAGCTTTTCGGGTTTTCACCTCTCAGGAGAAGCCTAGAACTGAAAAACTGAAAAACTGAATTGCACAAGAGAAGAATGGACCCCAGACTTCTCCTATGGAATTCAGTTTTTCAGTTTTTCAGTTTTCCCACTGTTGGTGCCTCAAATTTAATCGGAACAAAATCGGTGCCAAAATATATAAAATTCACTGTAAATACCAGTAAAATTGAAGTCTGCATAGGTTTTGGGGGGGTACCATATATATATATATTTATATATATTTATATATATATATATATTTATATATGGCAAGTATAATGAAGGAGACCTGCATTGAACTATTGAACTGGGAATGACTGGGGCAGGACGCGGATCTTCAGCCGCTGCAGCTGTGGCTTGGCTCACCCTTCGCTGTGGCCAGGCTCGAAGCAAGCCATCTGGGGATGGTGCGACGGCTTCGACTTATGGTGCTATGGATGGTGATATCTAGATAGATGATGATAGATGGTAATAATCTATTATCATGCATAGATGGTTGATGATTACCATATTATAACAGATATAATAGATGATTACTTATGGCTAGATATCCATACATAGATATCCCATTACCTAAAATATCTAGCCATATCTAGCCCTTTTTCCATTGATGATTGTTGCCATGTCGCTGTGCCAGACCCTTGACAGCTCCATCAACGCAGTGGTGGAATCTGCAAGACAGGTGGGTGTGGTTGCTCCCTGGTCGTGGCTTTATATAGTATATTAACATACATTATGATATATATATAATATATCATGAATACACACATCTAACACTTCATATATATATATATATGTATTTGCATATATACACTATTGTACACTTACATTATATGCTTTCCGTTTGAGTTGGTGGGGCGAGATGGGATGATCATTACCGGCTCAGGTCGGAGCCTCGCGGGCTCCCTTGGAGGCCTTCGAAAATCGGGAGGCGGCATATCAGTTCCGCGACCCAATGGATATGTCATATATATGTCATATGATGTCCATAATAGTGTCCACCAGTTTCATTGTACAACTGGAAGATGTGTTCCATGTAATTACCTCCAGAGAATGGGTACGAAACATGGAAGGTAGATGTCTTTCAGCACATACAGAGCAAAGTCAGTGCCACACAAGCAAACAAGAAGTTTTGAATTTCCAAGCACTGCGGTCGGATTTTGTGGTCTTGAGAGCAGTTTTCACCATGATCAATGAGAATGCCTTGTGAAGGATTTCCACGCCAAGCTGTTTGCATCTCAAGAGCCCATCTGACCAGATCCGCCACACCCCCGCCCTTCAGGCCTTCTGTGCAGCCCTGTCAAAGGCGTGAGACAGCGGAGTGACTTACCAGCAACATCCAGCAACCACTAAACAGACTAAACCGTTTGAAGTGCCCAGGTGATCCCAGGTGATCCCAGGTGGCTCTTGGGATGGCCCACCATTTTGAGATATTTGGCTCGAAGGTCAAAATGGTCAAATCGCAATTCGCAAATCTTTTTGAAGTCGAGACTCCATGGATGTGCAGTTTTGCAGAGAACGGCGAAAAAGAAGCACAAGACTCTTCTCCTTGATCCTTACCTCATAGGGAGGTTTTAAATCGTTTAAGCATTCTGCCATCTATGCTTGTCCATGGCTTGATGCAACCGCGGTCCAGTCGCACCTGGGGTCTCTGGTGTCATGTCTGGTGAAGGACTGGAGGTGGGTTAGAAACATTGGAAACCTCCTGATGGATTTTGAGTTAAATTGACCAAGGATGGGGCTGGAGTTAAATTGACCAAGGTCCCAGCGACCATGTAGAAACAAATTGCTGAACTTCTGAGAATTTATTTTCCTGCGACGTTGTAAGATGTTGTAAGTTCCTGAAGAGTTTCTTGAGGAGACTTCGAAGTCGAAGTGCCCGATGCCAGCGAAATCATTGATGGACTGTTTGTGGGAACCGCAGAGGCTGGCATTGAGGCCACCGTGGGCGCCAACTGCAGGCAGATTCGATACATTCTGAACGTCGGTGGATGCGTTACGCCTGCCATGTTCGCAGCTGTGGCCGAAGCTTTGGCGAACGCGGAGAACGGAAATGATGATGGCCGTGGAACAAAGACCCTAGCTTGGAACAATGACCAGGCAATGGCAAGGGGCCCGATCTGGCCACATTGCTGGGTTTTCCATGGTTTTCCATGGTTTTCGCAATTTTCAACAACGTTAGAAAGGTATGATATCTGCTGATAGGAACAGGGGTCAAACAGTTCAGGTCCAACCTTGGCAGGTGTACACTCAAAATGGCGTCGTAACGCTGGCAATGCCGATGGACGACTTCGGGAGGACACAACTGACCGAAGCCTTTCTGCAACGTTGCTTCGATTTTATTGCAGCCGGGCTGGAGGACATAGGTTTCATTCAAGCAAGTACCATCTTTCAATTTTCCACGATTCCGCGTTGACTTGTGCCCAACAGATCTAATCCCGCACTTTATTCAAACAACATGAGTTGCTCTGAGGTCTGAATAGATTCAAATCTTTCAGGAGGGCCGTGTTTTGGTGCACTGCCGTTTGGGTGTGAACCGCAGCGTCACAGTGGCTGCAGCCTTTCTGATGCGTCGCAATCGCTTCAGCGCCGACCAGGCCCTGCAACTGCTGCGGGAGCGGCGCCCCGGGGCACAGCCGAACGAGGCCTACTGCGAGCAGCTCCGGCAGATGCCACAGAGTTGGGAAGATGGCCAGGCACAATCAGAAGTTAAGTGGAAGATTTGGAGTAAAGATGGAATGAATAGATGGATCATGACTCATGATGGATCGATTCTTGGACATGTTTGATACATATATATATATATATTCATACAATATAATATAATTAGTCAGATAGTTATAATGTGTATACTCTACATGAATATTATATATATATATAAATACATGTATACATGAACATGTACATGAACATGTATAGTGTGTATATATATATATACATATTATACAGAATATATATATATATATATCATGATGAATTATCTATGATGCGTAGATATTCAGAATCTGAAGAACGATGTTAGTGGATAGCAAGGCAAAGAGGGGGTGGTGGTTTTGATGGTGGTCCCCTGCATGTCTCATCGCCAGGTGGCTGATGCAGAGTATGATGCCATCGCTTTGGCCCCATGACCGTCCTGCAGCATGGGGCAACATGCTGTTGGTCATGTCGTGTCTGATCTGTTGGTGAATCGGTGACTCAACTCGCGCAGCCCTTCAAGTTGCGGCAAAGCCGGGGACATGACTTCGAGTGCTGAAGGAGATCAAGGCGTGGGAGACGAGAGGCAACTGGAAAGGATGTTGCTTGCTCATTGCGTGTTGCGTGTATGCCTCTCTCAACTTAACTCAAGTTGCCTTGAGCAGCTCGAGCATGTTTTCCTACCTTTTCTCATGCTTGAAGTGGTCGCCGTTTCGAGCGGAGCCTTCCATTGCAATGAAGCTCTGAACGAAGAGCCAGAGGATTTGCTGTTCCATTGAACTCAAGAGCTTGCCCGCACCGCAGAGCGCTGATATTGAGACAGGTCGTCCAAGGTGTGTCTCATGATATATACCTGATATACCTCTGCTTGCAAACACTTATATGCGTTGCCCATACAACGATTTGTGCCGATACAGCATGTCAAAAGAATGAGTTTCCGTTGTGAGGGCAAGGCTGGCTGAAGATGTGACTAGTTGCGCTGAAGGGAAAGAGGGTGTACAGCCTGGTGTAGGTTCTTTCTGAGAGATGGTCTTGATATGATATGCATTGATTGATATTCGCCGTTTCTAGGTCCTGAGTTTCAGCACTTCTATATCTTGTAGGCAGTCACACTTCATCATGATAGGACGCAGGAAAGTACCTCAGCAATGACAAGCAATGGCAGCATCTCGTAGACTATGCGGCTCTAATGGATGGGTATCTCATGGGTATCTCATGGTATCTCTATGATCTTCACATCCAAAGGCCACCCACACGTCATCCCGTCATCGAAATGTCGGCGTGGCAGGTTCAAGGCTCAGGCGAATGAGCCGGGCAGTGAGAACCTCAGGACCTGTGGAAGACAAAAAATGACCGGAAGAGTTGATTTGGAGGGGCCAAAGCTTCCAGTGACCCAGTGACCATATCCGAAGATTCTCTGTGTATACAGTATAATATATATATATATATATAATAGATAAATAAGATCAGATAAGATCAGATAAGATTAGTTCAGATTAATTAGATAGATGATATAGATTAGATAGCTAAGATAAGATTAGGTGGATTATTTGAGATACGGTAAGATTACGCGCAAACACCCCGTTTCGCCCACACCCTTCTTGTCTTGGGAAGATCAACAAAGGTATTAGGGAATATAAAAGTCCCACCCCCGTTAAACTTTACAGTCATTTTACTGTACAATCATTGAAGATCTTCAATAAGGGTTCAATTCTCCCACCCGCGTTAAACCTCTACATTCATTGAAGATCTTCAATCAGGGTTTAATTCTCCCACCCCCGTTAAACTTCTACATTCATTGAAGGCCATCAATAAGAGTTTAATTCTCGCACCCCCGTTAAACTTCTACATTCATTGAAGATCTTCAATAAGGGTTCAATTCTCCCACCCGCGTTAAACCTCTACATTCATTGAAGATCTTCAATAAGGGTTTAATTCTCCCACCCCCGTTAAACTTCTACATTCATTGAAGGCCTTCAATAAGGGTTTAATTCTCCCACCCCGTTAAACTTCTACATTCATTGAAGATCTTCAATAAGGGTTTAATTATCCCACCGGGGTTAAACTTCTATATTCGTTGAGGATCTTCATTATTGATGATGATGGTGATGATGATGATGATGGTGATGATGATGATGATGATGATGTGGAACAAACCCGCACAGGTCCCTCTGCTGTGCGTTCTGATCTAGAACATCAAGTTAACCATGATGCTAAAATATTCCATTTTTACCACGTTTTCAGCTCATACGAAGAAGGCGGGCCAACAGGCGCGGGCAAGACGAGGTGTTTGGCCATAAGATTAGATTAGATCGATAGAGAGATAGAGAGAAATATAATAAATACAAATCTATACATTTTGAGATTGATTGACACTTTCAACGAGTTTTTGAGATGTCTAAGGGTTACAATGACAAGGATAAGATTGTGGCAGTGGTTCATGCCTTGCGTCAAACTATTTGTGCCAGTTTTCCGTATGAGAATGCATTTTAATGCCACTAGCCAGTGTATTTTGAGCAAATGCGCAGGTTCTTTGGGTATTTTGAAGTGACCAGTGAAATATCATGAGGCGTCCCCCAGCAGTAACTTTTCCCCGTGATGCCACAGATGGCGACATCAGTTTCTGAGTCGGTCTTGAAGCTCTGGAATTGTTTCCAAATACCCAGGACTCAAGTCTAAACGGGCCTAAACACCAATTTCTTTGCGAATTGATTTGTTTTGAGTCATTAAAAAACCTTCAAGAACTGGAAGGCTTTGCTAAAAGATGCTAAAAGTAAATTGAACCGCCACAACAGGGCCAAAAGTGCAACGCACTTCTGTTCATTTGTATGGTTCCAGGACGCTTGTCGGCTCAAGTCATTTACAAAAAGTGCCCTGAAGCCGTAAACAGCGGCCGTTGCCGCACCATAGACCGAGGGACAGGGTCAAGATGGGGGCAGCTATACACTTGTCGACCAAAAGACAAGTTTCTTGGATTGCCGGAGTGATGAGAAAGTTGTGGAAGAGAGTTTAATGATGCGTTTCGCTGCAGATCCGGTTCAATTGCCCTACTGCAGCCACCGCAGCTACTACTAAAAGTTACCCTACTGTTCGACAAAACGTGCATCCACATTTGTCATGCTAGTTTGACTGGCATTTGACTGTCATTTGACTGTCATTCCTCAGGTTGTTTATGGGGACTACTACCTGCCAGTGACCGTTAGCAACCCAGACCATACAGCGCCCTCTTCGCCCCGGGATGAACCAGAGGCGGAGCAAATCCAACATGTTTCTGCATGTTTCTGCATGTTTCTGCATCGACTGCATCGCTTCAAAGATTTCAAAGATGATCCGCTTAAGGTAATTATATGATATTGTATGTAGTGATATGTAGTGATATGTAGTGATATGTAGTGATATGTAGTGATATGTGGTGATATGTGGTGATATGTGGTGATATGTAGTGATTATATGATGTGACTTGTGTCATGGCTTGCTTATGGATTTGTGCTGTTCTGTCCATTGATGTCCATTGATCCGGGGGGGACCTGCGGGGTACTGAAGCTGGGGAGAGTTCACTGCGCAGGTGACCTTGTCATTGATGTCAGGGCAAAGCATCAAGTTGACCCTGAGTCGCAGCCCTAAGTCTTTTGAAGGAGCGATTGGGACCCGATGAGGGATATTTATCAGCTTCGGCACACATCACCACATATAGTTTGGTTCTTTGGCTTTTTCATCATCGACATGTTCCTTTCAATCATGTTCAATCATGTTCAATTATTGTATATCACATATATATATATATATATCATGTATCGTTTTATATCGTCTTAAATCATGTTATATATATATATATATGTTTGCGACAGGTCAGATGCGACGTTTCGCTTTCCATCCCACATCTTAAGGCCGCCGGGATGCCACCGTCAAGGCCGCAAGGCGACAGATCGCACAGCTGTGCTGCATGCCGGAGCAGGCAGTTCACCTTCTCAATGCTGGACAAGTCTTGGAAGATGAGGCAGAGCCATGCAGGGCCCATGTTGGCCACTGGTGATGGGTGCTTGAAGATGCTTGATGCTTGAAAATGGTTGGAAAGTAGTGGAACTAACTACCTGCAGTGAATGGACATGATGAATATGCAGATGTATTTGGCTGGTGGTGTCCCAAAAATATATAAGAGGTATTAAAAGGTCTAGTTGGCTTTGTGCATTTGTTATGATCTCGTATGATCTCAGTATGATCCCCAATGACCGCGGATGGGTTGCGCCAGTTGCTTTTGATCGGCCTCGAGTCCACGCAAATCATCTTCGATGCCAGCTTTCTGAGGAAAGGTGGGCCCTGACATACCTAGCATCTCCTAGCCATCACCAAATGAGTTGCGCGTGTTTGCAGAAGAAATCTGGCATTTGGGAGCAGTTTTATACCGTCAAATACCATATAATACCATCATTCTAAGGCTTTACACTGAGTTTACACAAAATGGTTTGCTGCGACATTTTTTGACCAGGTCCTTTGCCCGGCGTTTCCAGACTCGGCCTTTGGCATGGCGTGCAGGACCGCAACCTGCCGCAGGGATGCGTTGTTTCCATTTTTCCAGCAGATTCGACAGATTCGGCTGAAACAAAGGGGCCCTTCAGTGATGTTCACCCAACAACACTGCAATCATTTTGAGACCATTTCCGATTTGCCACTCTGTACCGGGCTCAACGAGGCTCGGTTGAGGCTGCTGAACCCAGTGGCCAGTGGCACGTGGATGACCGCCACGCTTCGCGAAGCACCGCGCTTGGTTGCGCAGAAACGCCGCTTGGCAACGCGCAGTGCTTTGATAGCTTGATTGGTTGGAAATCCCCCGACTGGATGAGGTTTATAGGTGGGAAATCATTGAACTAAATGGTTCTAGTGGGAAAACCAATGAAAATCATCTATAAATGGCATTAAATGGATTTTCCAGCATTTTCCGGCAAGACATGTGATTTTTGGATGTTATTTGGAGATGGGTTGAGTTGTTCATTTCAGGAACTTAATTGGGAATGTTACCATGTCCCTCGAATTCCTGCGGCTTCAGGTTCCGTAGCTTTTCGTTACACTGCCGAAGCAGATGATGTGGGCAACTTGCATTCCCTCAGTGCTGTAAAGAAATCAGGCAGGACCATCGGCTTGCAGAGATGCACAGAGATGCACATAGATGCCCTGGATGAAATTGGAGAACTCGTCATGCCATGGAGGCTTAGTTGATCTATTTTGATCTAAGTTGCCTAGTTCGGTCTAGTTCAGTTGCACTTGAGTTCAAAAGTCATGGAAGAAAATGTCATAAAGTTGTTTTTTCTGCAATTTCGGACAAGCAGTGATTCAGTGATCGCGGAGTGCCTGCAAACTGCGAGCATCGGCATCGATGGCAGGTACTTCTGGTCGACACTTTGCAGTTAGCATCGAGGACTGCCACATTCTTGGTCACACAGCTCTGAGTATTGGAACATCAATTGGAACCAAACAGAAAGACTACACTGAGGCAATTCGGATGACTGGCAGAAATTCATAGAAGCCCTTTGGATCCCTTTGGGATCTTTGGGAATATGACGCAAAATTATTGCGCCCCCCCAAAAAAAACCAGACGCTTTTGTGACGCTTTCCCCTGCAGGGCCTTGATCATTACCGTGCTCGAATTTTTCGGCCTTTGTCGAGCAAGGTGCAGACTCAGAAACGGGCATGTCTCCATATTGGGAAGCCCCGAATCAGCATACCTCCCTGACATGAAATTAAGTGAATTTGAGGCTCCCAATGCGACATATCCAGGATATTTCCAGGATCATATCCACATAATATCAACATTTTGCACAATTAATCATGCAATTTGATGCAATTTGTCGCCAGGAGTACGTCCTCTACGATCCTGCAGCTTCCATGAGAGGCCACAGGTTTTCGAAAAGCATGGCTTGACACTCACATTTCCTCCATGAAGGGCATGAAGAACGGCCATGAATCACCATGAAACTCAATGTATACTCAATATAAAGTTTTGCCAAGAAGTGATCTTCCGCAATGTCAGGAACAGTAGGAACATTCAGGAACTATGCTGCAATGATTGCAATGTTTTCATCATACCACATCAGCAACATCCAGCATCCAGCATCCAGCAACACTCCGGCCCTAACCATCCCCGGAATCCCGAAGCATCCCGAAGCAGGATCTGAAGCCCGGGAGATGGGTTGCCTACGCTTGCGCAGCAAGCGGCGCATGGGGCCCAGCGACTTGGACTTTGTGATGCCCAAAGTGAAGGAGGCGGTTTCAGCGGGTTTCAGCGGGTTTAAACGGAAAACATGGGAGAACCATGCCATGGGGAACGGGTAGGATGGGGATATGGGTAGGTAACTGCAGTAACCAACAAGAATTTCCAGAGTTGAAAAAATGAACATGTGATGTACAACTGTACAACAGTGAAGGAAAATGAGAAATGAGACAGCTTGGAATCACATTTAAAGAAACTCTTGACTCAATGACTACGCCTAACTGCAACTACTATGCTAGACTTACTAATACATACTACCACTATGCACGAATCTCTGCCACGTACATTGTCACCTGGGGCTCCCACGCCGAAGACCACAAGGGCCGCGCCAGGATGGCACCGCTGCACAGTTCAGACCTTTAGCTTTGAAGGTGCGGAAGTCTGCTGAAGCTGAGCTGGGCTGTTGACTCCACTATATAATCTTTAGTCAATTTTAGTCATATATACATAATCTACACTGCACATCACATCGCATCACATCGCATCATATTTTTATTCTAATTCTATGCTTTTCTATTCCTAGTCTATTCTAATTCATTTCTATTCTATTCTATGTTTGCTACACTATATTAATATAGATGCTACCTGCGACCATGTGTAGGATACTCTGTCAAGAAAGGTTGCTATTTCCTGGCAAAACTCTTGCTTTCAGTTCAGAATCAGCTTCTGTCTCGGTAAAAATGGTTGTATCTCGGTCCTGCGTTGCAGCTTTCAGAAGTGTTTGGTATTGAGTTTTTTTCCCGAGAGCGTCTGAGCGCAGGGTTCTTCCAATAGTGGGGGTCTGTAAAACATCTTCTCATCTTCACATCCTCTCATCTTCACATCTGCTCATCTTCACATCCTCTCATCTTCACATCCTCTCATCTTCACATCTGCTCATCTTCACACCTTCCCATCTTCACATCTTCTCATCTTCACATCTGTTCATCTTCACATCTGCTCATCTTCACATCTGCTCATCTTCACATCTGCTCATCTTCACACCTTCTTTCACATCTTCTCATCTTCACATCTGCTCATCTTCACATCTTCTCTCACATCTCTCTCACATCTTCTCTCACATCTGCTCATCTTCACATCTTCTCTCACATCTTCTCTTACATATTCTCTCACATCTTCTCTCACATCTTCTCTCACATCTGCTCATCTTCACATCTGCTCATCTTCACATTTGCTCATCTTCACATCTTCTCTAACATCTTCTCTCACATCTGCTCATCTTCACATCTTCTCTCACATCTGCTCATCTTCACATCTTCTCTCACATCTGCTCATCTTCACATCTGCTCATCTTCACACCTTCTCTCACATCTTCTCACCTTCACATCTTCTCTCCTTTCTCTCTCCTTTTTCTCTCTCTCGCCTTCTTTTTATCTTTCTCTCTTAAGGCCGAGGGTGGTGCCGGCGGCGAGTCACGAAACGCCAACCCTTTCGCACGAAATGAGGGTCGATCGGCAAAAACTGAGGTAAAACTGCGATTTGACTTGCCCCGGAGCAACCCTTTCGCACGAAATGAGGGTCGATCGGCAAAAACTGAGGTAAAATTGCGATTTGACTTGTCCCGGAGCAACCCTTTCGCACGAAATGAGGGTCGATCGGCAAAAACTGAGGTAAAATTGCGATTTGACTTGCCCCGGAGCAACCCTTTCGCACGAAATGAAGGTCGATCGGCAAAAACTGAGGTAAAATTGCGGTTTGACTTGTCCCGGAGCAACCCTTTCGCACGAAATGAGGGTCGATCGGCAAAAACTGAGGTAAAATTGCGATTTGACTTGCCCCGGAGCAACCCTTTCGCACGAAATGAAGGTCGATCGGCAAAAACTGAGGTAAAATTGCGATTTGACTTGTCCCGGAGCAACCCTTTCGCACGAAATGAGGGTCGATCGGCAAAAACTGAGGTAAAACTGCGATTTTACTTGTCCTGGAGCAACCCTTTCGCACGAAATGAGGGTCGATCGGCAAAAGTGCAATTTTACTTGTGCCGTTCTTGTCTGTGTGTAAAAGCGCCTGTGTGTAAAAAGCGTCTGTGTGTAAAAGTCTCTGTGTGTAAAAGCGTCTGTGTGTCAAAGCGTCTGTGTGTCAAAGTGTCTGTGTGTAAAAGCGTCTGTGTGTAAAAGCGTTTGTGTGTAAAAGTGTTTGTGTGTAAAAGTGTTTGTGTGTAAAAGCCTCTGTGTGTAAATGTGTTTGTGTGTGAAAGCGTTTGCGTGTAAAAAGCGTCTGTGTGTAGAGGTTGTCTGTGTGTAAAAGCGTCTGTGTGTAAACGTATCTGTGTGTAAACGTGTCTGTGTAAAAGCTTCTGTATGTAAAAGCTTCTGTGGGTAAAAGCTTTCTGTGTAAAAGTGTCTGTGTAAAAGCTACTGTGTGTAAAAGCTTCTCACTATTTGGTCTTGATACTCCTCTTCTCGACTGCCTATAACACATCTTTCATACATCGTTTCTAAAATTGCGTCTCCATACTAACAAGAGAAGACCCTGCTCCTCTACGCTCTCGGGCCATCCGTCGTCTAGTTCTTAAAGCATCTCCTGCCTGTGAGATGCTATGATCACTATACTATGCAGTGCATTCCACTGTGCCTCTGGTGCTTGGGTGGTTGCATTTTCGCTTACAATTCCCATCCTTCTCTCTCCGATGAATGCACACTATCGCAGAAGATCAGAAGTGCTGTAGATTCTAGCTTCAAATGTTCTTCCATGTTCTTCCTGTGGCCGACAGGAGTCCATTTCGCAGATCTACGAAAGAGGAAACATGGAACACTTGTTGCGGTCCTCAGCACTTTCTACTTGAACAGTTTATGTGCAAAAAAGGCGGAAATCATTAGGGTATGACGTGCTTCACAGGCGGGATTGTGCTATGCACCTGAAAACTTTCAGTTTCCTACCTGACGAGGCAAGTCTTGTGGGGCACTTCGGCAGATAGTTCCATCGAGCTTCAATGGCAGGGCTGCGTGATTTTTGAAGCTTGTTCCATCGACAAGACTTGGAAGGTGCGGTTTCAACATCCATTGTCCCACTTCCAAGCATTTGGCATCATGATTGGAGTCTTGGACAATGCCTGCTTAGCTAGTTTCCACCAGTAAGTGCCTCAAGTCCAGCGACGCGAGCCATGCAATTTGGTTCACCATGAGATGATTTGACATGTTTGGGGAAATGATACTGCTATTGCTGTCATGTAGACCACAAAAAAGTTCTCAAGAGGTTAATAATATGTGAGATATTGTTTGGGGGTCATTTCTTTCATGACATTCTATCTTGGTGGTTGGGTAGAGCACGCGTCGCACCAGGGCATGATACTGCGACATCAGTGAGGTGTATGGGCAAGAATTTGGTCCTGTACCCCAAAATGAGATTCTCGATAGGTTGCTATTCAAACATCGAAGAGTGTACATAATTATACATTTAATCTGATATAATATACATGCGGTTCTCGGGGTTCGCAGGGCCCTCAATTTTTCACCGATCCCTTCTATCAATGCTTATGAACAGATTGTGTCCATTGGAGCCGACTTAAATCAGTTTTTGTCCATGTGCCCCACCATGACAGCAACCCAACAAGGGAGGGCTGCCTGTTGCTGTGTAGCGGGAGTTTCTGCTCTCTAATCCCGCCTGTCTCTGTCGAACAACGACCTATACAGTCCAGTGGCACGACTCGATTCTCCCATGGCATCGGATGCCGTGGTCATGCCTTTTATAGGTTGACACATGTTGACACACACACACAGCTGATACTGCTAACACATATCAGAAATCTCTGCTATTCTCTATCTTCTCCGGAATCGTGCTATCCTGGTACAGGCACTTGACTTGGAACTGATCATATATAGGTTACCTATCATAGGTTTACTATGGTTTATTATCGGTTTATTATGGTTTATTAATGTTTACTGTGGTTTATTTATGTAGGTTGACTCAAGTTCTGCAATCTAATGATGTGGGGTCTCGAACCGTGCCATGAGTTGTTCAATGGGACGAAAGGCCAATGTATAGCCTGTGACATCCCCATAGAAACGCCTTTCACCAACTATGTCCAATATCTCAACAACTTGCAGCCAAAAGGAGGTGCCCGGATTTTTCTTGCTAGTCGTGACGCTGTTTATAAGAATTATTGTACATGACATGGAGGAAAACCCTGCAAAATTATGCAAAATTCATGTACTTGTTGCATCGTCCACCAACCAGCCTATCCAAGTTTGTATCCTGAAACCGGACTCTGGCTTGGAGAAGGGCTGAATCCGGATGCGCATCAGGATATGCTGTGCAGCACATTTGAACGTTCATGAAGCATTGCGACAACATTCCACCGCAGCCTTGCGCGCTGCCATTTTCGGCGCGGCAATGTCTGTGCCGTGCTCACGTCAACGCAAAGAATGGCACGCCACCAAGGAGTGAGATGCGCCAGGTGGCGTGAGAGACACCACCAGGTGGCCAAACCCAAACTTGGGGTGAAAATGTGATAAAATTCATTAAAACTGATTAAATTCCTGAAAAAGCACATGGTGAATCACAAGGCAAATAGTGATGAAATGATGAAACGATAATGGTGTATTCTCTGGCGGGTTTGGCCATGCTTCAGGTGGCTGCGTCAGCTCGGAATTTGAAGACCGATTTTCCTCGGGAGAGTTTGTTCGTGCGAACTGCCAGAGTGTTGTGAGAGCATCTGATTTGGGCCGCAGCCAGCCTTTGAGAAACAAGATGTGTGTCCTCAGTCCTAGTCTATACCTCCACAATCCACATCCACCACTGTCAGCCATACAAGGTGGTGCATTTTAAGAAGCTTACAGGCACCCAATAGGAGTGAGCATTCTGGGACTTTCTGATACTATAGTGACAATTATAGTGACACCCAGAGGCACAGCACCTTCCACCGCGGCCCATGCGACCGGGGACACTCTGTGCTGATTTTGCATCCTGCAACTGAGACTCGTCAGCTGCAGGACTTTGCCAATGAGAATCCAAAACAGTGCTGCAACCTGCACAGGGACGCTGAACAGACCCGGAGATGTGAAGTGCTGGTGGTTTTGGGGAACGCTTTCCTTGGGATTGTAGGATTATGATGGATTATGTAGGATCGCTCAGAATACCCAACTTATATTGCAATTTGTTTAGGCCGTGTGGCTCTTTGAAAGTTGACACTCCAGACACCCAGATTCAGACACAAGCCGGCCAGGCGTGGAACGTTTGCAGCAAAAGATGGTTTCAAGCATTTCTTTATTGCTTCACAGAAGCAGTTGGAGTATATAATATTTAAAGTATGATTCAATATTTTATATGCGTTTCTGATTAATTATGATTATATGTATATAATTACATATATATATATAATATTGTCATGGATACAATAGTTATTCATAGTTTTTATATATACATAACTCTTCCACATGGAGAAGTTTGTGAAACCACAGCAGAAAACGCAGCAATGGCCCACAAGTTGGATGGTATCGATGCGACTTGAGGTGGTGCCCGGGGGAAGTGGCTGGCATTGGTGGATTTCACATGATTTAACATGGTTTGATATGGTTTATATACAATATGGTTTTGATATGATATGATTTAATATGGTTTAATGTGCTTGAGTATGGTTCGATTGGTTTGATTTGATCAGTCTTGGGGCACAGTGGAACGTCATTAGATTAGATTGTAGGTGTAGATGCAACATGATGCAACTCCCCTGTTTGTATTTAAAGACTCATTGCTAGATTTCCAGGGGTTGGCTGTTTTGGTGATGCTGAACATCACCTTCGAGTTTATATAATACAAGTACGTATTATATCGCAATGGTTGGGTGATGTTCAATTAGGATAATTAGGACACCAACCCCTGGAAATCCTTTGATGGTCCAGTTGGAGGACAATATATATATATACGACAATTTTTCAGACCAGGATGAGATGCAGTGTGACGTGTCACCAGGATGAACATCACCCGGCTGGTGGCGTGTGCAACAGAAGGCCATTTTGATATCTGTTGATATTTAATGAATGATCGAAGGAAGTTTAGAAGTCAAACTTCCGACAATATGGACAGATGGAAAAGCAAGAGGTGGGAAGAGTCAGAGAAGAGAAGGGCAGAAGAGAGAAGATCAGAGAAGAGAAAGAGTGAGAAGAAAGAAGATGCAGGGGCGCGAAAAGGTAGGAACGTCGCAAAACATTGTGTTTTTCCAATGATTTGTAGCTCCGGAGGGTCGAAAAGTAGGCTCTCTAAAGCGGCGGGTGCGGAGCCATCTGGCTGGCTAGATGAGAGATGAAAAATAGCACGCCGTTGTGGCGGAAGCACATTTCGAAGTCAAAAGTGTAAAAAACTGACGGGTTCGGAGCATTTTTGGAAGTTGAGATGTCGAAAAAGTGCACGCCGTTGTGGCGCGGAGCACATTTCCAAGTCAAAAGTGCGAAAAACTGACGGGTTTGGAGCACTTTTGGGCGTTCCGATGTGGTTTTGCGTGGCCGGCGCAAGGGATTGTGCACCTTGTCAGAAGTGAGCAAACCGTGAGGGTTTTGTGGCATTTCCAAAAACGATGCCAGGAGTGGGACATTTGAAGAGGATCTGGAAAGATGCATTTTCCGTGGCAGGCGCAGTACAAGAGACATGTTCACCAGAGCTGTTAGGAGGTCCGCCGGGCGCCTGAGGGGCTGCATTTTGGAGCATCAGATCTTCAGCTTTGGGAAGATGATTTTGCGTGACAAGTGCAGCATTTTGTATGACCTGGCATCACTTTTTCGTGGCAGGCACAATACTTCAGAGACATGGGCTGGAATAAATGCAAAATTGCTTCCTTTTTGACGTTATCAAGTTCAAAAGTTGAGGAAGTCTTGCAGAGTTGCGTCCTTTTTGACGTTATCAAGTTCAAAAGCTGAGGAAGTCTCGCAGAATAGCTTTGTTTTCAAGCTTGCAGGTTGCAGATAGACAGATAGATAGACAACTACAACTACCACAACACTACAACTACAAATACAAATAAACTACGCTGCATTGCACTACACTACACTACTTGCATCTAATTACACTACACTACACTACACTACACTACACTACACTACACTACACCACACCACACTACACTACACTACACTACACTACATTACACTACATTACACTACACTACACTACACTACACTACACTACACTACACTACACTACACTACACTACACTACAACTACTACTGCTGGTACTGCTACTGCTACTGCTACTGCTACTACTACTACTACTACTACCACCACGACAGCTACAGCAACAGTATCAACTACACCACATTACACTACACTGCACTAATTACACTGCAGCACACTACAACTACAAATACACATGCAACTACAACTACACTACATTACACTACATTACGCAACACTACACTACACTACAGCTACAGCTACAGCTACAGCTACAGCTACAGCTACAGCTACACTACACTACACTACACTAGTTACATTATATTACGCTACAACTACCACTACAACTACAACCGCAGCTGCAACTACAATTGTAACTACCACTGTGTTGCACTACACGATGCTACACTAATTACACTACACCACACTACAACTACAATTACACTACCATACGCTGCACTACACTAGACTACACTACACTACACCACACTACAGTACACAACACTACAGCGCACTAAAATACAGTACGCTAATTACACCACGCCACAGCGACTGCAGCTACACTAGACTTATTACACATTACAACTACTACAACGACAACTACAATTGTACTACACCACACTACATCCAGCAGTTGTGGGTGAGGTGACCACTGCGACCATTGCAGCCACTCCAAAAAACACAACTTCAACCACCTTTCGGTCCATCAGTGGATTCGCTCCGCCATCCGTGATTCACAACAACCAACCTCTCCTATAGGTTTCCTATTTTTGAAACTTCCGCCACGGCATTGCGCGGCACTACTGGTATTCAACATTATTCAACGATATTTGTATGTTCTGATCTCTGTCGTCAATCCCACTTTAACTGATCTCTGTCGTCTTGGACAGGACCATGCAGAGTTTTCTGGAGGACGGGGGGCCTCCAGAATCCTGTGAAATTCGGCCTTGAGACGCGCCTCAATCAGTTGCAGTTTAAGGTAAGGAAAACTGAAGCAGACTGGATCAATTTTTGTTGAGGGCCTCTAGCCGGTATCAATGCTTACAAGGACCTACAAACAAAAATTCGTTCAGCGGAACGACGAAAATTGTTAGGATGGACTGATGCTGGAAGCAAAGCAGGATCAAATCACGGTGTCACATGCATGGTCCAAGATGCACAGGCTTTGTCAGCAGAGATGAAACAGCAAACACGCAACAATCCTTTGCCAAAGTACCAGCCCACTCGAGACTCGAGAAACTCTTCACCTCTCCACGTTGGCAAAGACATTTGCCATGGGTTTTGATCTCCCTTGCCAAACCAAACACTCTCCAGCCCAGCACCCGATACATCATGATACATCATGATACAGTATATGTCATCCCATCAGCTCTGATTCTGAATCTCTCCTCGCGTCGCCATGTTGCCCGGTGCTCTTGGGACTCTTGGGGCAGGGCTATGGCACAGCGCTCTGTGCGGCATCCGAAAGCATTTCTAGGAGGAGAGAATGCGTTGGATGCTACCGTGGAATACATTTGGAAGGCCGATTCTTTTGTTTTTGTTTCGGATCTGGATCCTGCAGTATTGAAACATATTGAAACACCATTGGATCCACTTGGGTACAAGAGACGATGTCAATTTTTCAAATGAAGTACGGCCTGAGTGCTGCACAAGAATTCGCAGTTCAGTATCCCTCAATTTTTTTAGGTAGCTGCAGCTGGGATTGGAGTCAAGCCCCTCAAATTCTTATACAATCTTTTGCAGTACCTGTGCTGTATCGAAACAAACACCCAACAGCTTGACGCCCACATTCAACCGGAGCGCAGGTCTTGTTGGCTGGCAGCTTACTGCGAACGTATCCGGCGGAGGATCTTAACTCTGTGAGAGATGAACTTAAAACTTTTCTCAGTACCTTGGCCGGGAATTTGCTCAACACGTGAAGAAGATTGGAGCATGCCACTTGCGAAATCCTTTAGTCATGAAACGGGTGGTTTCAATGAATTTTCCATTGAACCGTATATGTCTTGCACAAATGCATTCCGTGCACGCGTCTACAACTGCCCCTCCTCGATAGTAGGCAGTCACAGCATGGCATTGACGCCATTGACGAATGATGGGGTGTTCTATTGTTGATTTGTCAGAGCATGTTTGACTGCAATCTCAAATGCAAATTTCTAAAGCATACTATAGTATACCATAGTCTTTAAAATCAGCATAGACTTGTGCACTGAGGTGATGCATTTGATGGCGTTTTCCCAGGGATCCGCATAGGCGAGGGAGTGGCAGACGACAGTTGGGAAACACACAGAGGCAGTAGACTTGGTGAGCTTAGGCCGCATAGGCCGCCACATTACGGGGCTCAGGCCCAAGTGCCTCAACCCCCACATCCGGATATATCCGGATACGTGTACGTCCCAAAACCGAACAGGACTTGGCCCAAAAAGCATCAAAAAGCCTCAAACCGTTTCTGCACGGAACTTTGGGACGTCAGGTCGGGATCTCCTGACCGAAGAGGCTATCCTGGGTTTTGAGGAGGTGCGGTGACCCAACCAGGGCCGGGGGGTTTCATGGGGCACAGTGATGGCCAGCTGCCAACTTGACAGGTCGTTGTTGCCATCATTGATGATCAGCAGCTCGCGGGTCCAACGGCTTTGGTGGAGGCCATGTGGGTCCCAAGGTGCACAACAAATCACGCGCCTTTTTGGAATATGTTTGGTGTTCATTGATTTAAAATGATTTCAGGTCCAACTAAATTTGAACAAAATTAACTGAATTGTAGATTTATACCTTATAGATGCCCCCAAATTCTGGCAGGCTTTCTCCCACATTGATCTAAGATATCTAAGCCAATCTAAGCAAGGTGGAGCGTCCAGGAAGCGTTTCCCACATTTGGTCGAGTGATGTCGACACTTGTAGCCTGCAACTCTCAGGTGCTCTGCATGATTTCTATGCTCTTGAATGTATGTCGCATTGTAAGCATTGCGCGCGTCAACAAAGTTACCAAGATGAGGATCAGAATCCATGAATGCATGAAAATCTAAATCTTTGACATCTTTGACCCGGATGTTTTTTGGGTTTCCAGGCGATTCGTCAAGTCTTAAGCCGCAAAGAAGATCGCCGGATTGCAGTTCCTGGGAGAAAATGGTGTTGTTTTTATCAGCCATCGGGATGTGACATGTAACCAACAAAAAGGGAAAAAGGGGGGCATATGCGGCACATTGCGGCACGATAAACTAGGGATCACCCCCAAAGCTGGATGGCGGACCAAAACATATGGCCGGTTTTTGAACCGTGGCTGCATTTTGTCGGAGTCAGTCGCTGGCAGCTAGTAGCTCTTTGGCTCCTGTTGAACTTGATTGTTCATGAACCTTGCTGTAAATGAGATCAAATGAGTACTTGTGCACGGTTTTTCAGATTGCTTAGTCATGGCTTGGTCACTTGATTTGTGGTCGCGCAAACTGCAGGTGATGCAAAGCCGCACCGGTATGGCTGTTTCTTCAATACATCATAGTAGAGCATGGTGCTTAATATTAAATATTAAATGTGGATAGATGTGGTACGTTCGGGGTTGCTGTTGGTTTTCCACAGAACGCCCTTTCCCAAGATCAAAGAGGTTTGGCGCCCCGAAACATCACCCATCTTGAAGAACATTGATCATATTGATCATATTGATCATCTTGATCATATTGATCATATCAGCATAGTCAGCGTATCGCCTTCATTTCGAGGCTTTTTTGGCAGAGTTGGAAGAGGCGGTGTGCACCAGAAGCCTCATTGATGAGATGGAGAATAACGACGACGACGAGGATTCCGGAAGGGAAACAGTCAGAATCAGTGAGAGACGGGATTTGGGCAGTGTGTCCAGTGTGTTCTTGGATTTTGGAAATGTTTGATGATTTGTGTGTTTGGTTTTGTGTCTTGTAAGCTGTTTTTCTTGTTTCTTGTGTCATGGCTTCATGTTGCTTTTTGTCTGCAACTTGTGTGAGAGGTTAATAGAGGTTAGTTTCTCGCCAGCGTGTGATGTTTTTTGCCATCGTTCCTTTCAGCAATTCCAAACCTCATGCCTTTTCAACGAGCCTCACAAGCTATGACAGGAAACGACAGAAAGCACAATGCATAAAATGCACATAATATATCATAATATCATATAATATGCATGCATATGCGGACGGTGTTTCAATGCCAGGACAAAATCCAATTTGGATCTGCGGTACAAAGCCTCCATCTAGATGACAGGCGGAAGAAATGGACGAAACTTGCGATTGCCTGAAGCTAGATCTCCTCAGATTTGCGGTTTGACGAAGCGTCAGGATTGAAATCAAGGAGGGATTCATCTCAAACAGAGTGAGAGTTCAGTTAGTTAGGTTTTCCCAGAGCATCAAAAACCCTAATAGAGAAACCTAGCCAGGCTCGATTCTTCCCAGGTCCAAATCCGGTGGCCAAAGGGGTTCAACCAGAGATTTCGATCCTAAACCATGCAGGTTTCTCACCAGCAAGAGATTTTTGAGAAACCAGTAGTTGGCGAGACTCGAGCTTTGATTCAGGATTCCTCTTCCAACGACCTAACGACCTAAAATAATTTGTTATTTCCTGCGACGTATAAACCTTATTTCAGTTTCGAAATAAATAGATCGACCTAGCGACCTACGGATTATTATAATTTACCCAGATCTATCATCATCGATCGTTCATCAATGAGGACTCTATTTAAGAAGGCCACCGGTGAGACTGAACATGAACGAGTTGTTCATCTCCAGAACTCATTTCATGCAACTGTTGCTTCTTGATCAACAAGCTTTACTGGACATGCAACCAGGAATGGAGGGTGTTAAGCGCCTTGTTCATTTTGTAGATCCTTTACAAGGCTTTGCAGATAGCTGAAGATGACTTCCAACGCGTTTGAGTGCCAGCTTCTTGCGGGTGAGGTTGATGCCTTGAAAAGGGGTCCATGGCTATGATCCACAAGAAATCATGGCCGTGAAGTGGTGAAGGCATATTGAAAGCATGTGAAGGCCTGAAGGCATGCAATCCGCGTCCGGCCAAAGTACTGCAGGGAAGAGGAGATCGATCCGGAGGATGTGATCACAGATCGGCTAGAGCCACTGGTGTTGTACGAGTCGCAAGCCCATTCCTCAGAGTCATTCAGAGTCACAATCTTTGTCCAAGGAACACAGTACAGGTGTGGCCCACAGTGTAGCCCTTTTAGCATCTTTGAACAGTTTGGAAGTTCAACTGTCAGCTGGAACCTTCGCAGCCAGGTCGTGGAAGTTCAACACTGTTGGAAGCGTGGCTTGGTGGAAAGGCTTGGGCCACATGGCAGCCCAAGTTCTCACGCATGGGTGGTGTATTACTATGATTTACTCGCGCCGAGATTGTAGATCGCATTGAGAAGTGCAAGGCGGTGAAAGGAAGTGGATCATGTCCCCGTGGAATTTGGCATGTTTGTTGTCCACACTACAAGGGGTCAAGATGGTCAAGTCGGCCATGACCTGAGGTTTCATATCCCACTATGAACAACCAGACTATGCGGGCGAGGCAAGCGAGCGATGGCTTGATGGCTCGATGGCTTGATGGCTTGGAATGCTTGGAATGGTTGGGCCGTAAGCTCAACAGCCGCAACATGCAAGGCCTCTAAGTTTGGTCAACGCGGTCGCGGAAGTAGAAAAGCGTATAGTCAAGGAGTAAACAGCCACAAGGCAGAAAACCTCTCGGAAATTGAATTTCACAGACACAAAACTTTTCGTTGGATGCACAGGCTGCACAGGGTATGTGTGTGTGTGCAAGTGCTTGGGTCTCTGAATGGTTTGCCACCATTCTGGGACAGCGTGACAGCGTCAGAATTCTGCGGCTGCATCGCAACATGACATGATTGGACCATAGGCGACCTTCCAATGCCTTCCAGGCTGTCTTCGCTTCCATTCTGGATTCGGCACCATCTTTGCAAAGTCTCTTCAAAACTCCAAAGTTGGTTGCAGCAAAGTTCATCTCTGGAATCTCGGCTGAGCCATGAGGGTGTAGATCGATATTGATCCAGACAGTTGACCATCAGTTGACCTGTGATCACTGTATATCACTGTATATCGTGCTGTGATCTTGAGGACTTGACAGGATTGTTGCCAATCTGAGAGATTCCGCGAGCGTGTTCAACTTGGTGCGGCTCTTGGCCGGATAGCAACATGGCGGGTGTGGAGCTATTGTTTGGAATCCAAGGAAATCCTTTGGCTGATCCCCAAATCCTAAGCCGATCAGCCAGTACATGCCAGTACTGTACCTGATAGTTTTCCATCGGAAGAGTGGAAAACCAACTGCAGGTTGAGCAGAGTACTGAAAATTGCTGATTCATGTTCTGAAGAAAAACAGAAACGACAAGACATTAAGGACATGGGACAGAATTGGGAGATGAGCAAGCAATCAAGATAATCAAGGAAATGCAGGTTCTCAAATGCGTTTGGCATTCCTGTGAAACAGAGCATTGCAGGTGGAACAGATGGGCTTTCAGCACTTCCAGCTGGACGTAAGCATTCCGCGGATCGCAATTTTTCGACCCTTGGACAGCAAATGACAGTTGTGGAAGATGTGTGACGCAGAGTCTTCGCTATGCAAAGCGCATCCCGCTCCCAGGGGAAGCGCTTGTAGAAACAGCAACTCGGTTGGAGAACATCAAACCTCTGGTAGTGGGCGACAGGAAGGGTTTAAAAAACCACAGATTTACATCGTGGGGATCCATACATACAAGATCATACAATAGCGTTTGGGGCTGGGAATGTAGCTGTGCAAAGCCACTCCACAGTACACAGTGGTACACACAGAAGGAAGGGTTACTTACATGTTCCAGAAGTCTTGCAAGAGACTACACTCTAATGATTTCACGGCATGGGAGGTGAGGGCTGGCGCCGTTCCAGTTTGCAACGGGCACAGACTCGCTCAAAAAATGTAGGAAAAGAATTGAGAGGGTTCCTTACACGATTGGAATCTTTGATTTTCAAACATGTTCAACACATTTCCAGCTTGCTCCATCTCTTGGCACTCAACCCATCTTAACCCATCACCAATGGTCACTGTATGTCACTGTGCCCTTCCCAGATGGGCGCAGACTTGAATGCGGATTTTTCGCCTGTGGCGGCATTGGGTGTCCAGCGGCTGATGAGTTACGCAGGTTGGAGAGCAAGACTGCCAATGCGTCAGCGGTCGTCAAAGTTTTGCACATCTATACAATCTATAGATATTCACTTCATTTCACTTCTACGTATATTGAAATGTATATATTGAAATGTATTAAACATTGTGAAACAATATATATACAAGATTATACAAGCTACAGTATTGACATGTATTGACCCATATAGATGCATTGATTAATAATTAATTTATGGTTACATGCGTCTTCCAACAGAAATGCCATTGTGTGGAGACCTCGAAGGTGCAGGAACTGTCTTCTTTTTGCCATTCCCATCGCAGCGCGCGCAACGCGATAGGTGGGGCTTTCATTTTTATCCGAGAGAACTATGCGAAGCGTCTACAGCTGATCAGCCCTATGGCAGCAATTGTGGCATCATTTGGGGATGGTATGGGCAGGATGGGTCAAGTCATGCGAAGTCATTGGGGTGCCAATGTACCCACGAAATTGCTCTTCTCTGAGTATTCAAATGTATTCTTGTTCCACTATCCGTTTAGAGGGGTTGATAATTTTGACCCCTACCCTGTGACGCTGGTTCTGTGCACCTTTTATTTCTGATGGGATAATCAAAGTATGGCGCGGATCCAGCCACGATACTTCGATCAGACCTAGACCAAGACCATCCAAGACCCATATCTTCAGATGTGAGGCAAAGCTCCAAAAAGTCAGCCCCGGTAATGATGCAAATGCCCTGGTGAAGCCCTGGTGAAGATCGGAAAACCATCGGAGAACCATAAACACTCTAACCTTCCCAGCATGTTGTGAAGACATGCGGCATTTGCCGCCAGCCTTCAAGGTCGAACCTGGGCCATTGCCTCGGGTGTTACTGATGAGGAAGCAGCAGAGAAGGACCGCCCATGGAATGGGACCTAATGGGACCTAATGGGACATGCTGTATGGTGATAATTAGTAGAACCATGATGTCTGTACAAATATATTGTATGATATTCATTGATATTCTATGTCAAAGCAAATTAGATTAGATGATTATAAGTCAATTGTGAGAAAGGGTCCCAAGCTTGGGACATCTCAGCAATTTTGATTGTCAGATGCTGAGTATTTGAAAACATCTCTGCATCCCTTGGTTTTCCCATGGGTCTCTCCGTCCAGGACGAAGTCATCCAGGAGGAGGCTCCTGTGGAAGACGACTCAGACGATGATAGGCTGTCCAAAGGTGCCGCAGCTGGTTCTATTTTCCAAGTGAAGGATGAATGAAGAAACAATCAAATTGCAACACAATTATGGGGATGTAAGAAATTTAGGGCTGTGGGTAGTGGGTATAAATATATGTCACAGTATGTCACAGTATGTCACAGTATGTCACAGTATGTCACAGTATGTCACAAATTGGATGTCCCACCAAATCCACCAAAACTTCTAACAGGTCATTACATGTTCATATCCTGATTTAGCACTCGGAAGCGAATGGGTTGCGGGGTTCCCATGGGTTCCCATGGGTTCCCAAGTCTTGCGCAGTTCCAGGTGCCAGCGAAGTCCCTGCTGCCTCCAGCTGCTGTGCCAGGCAAAGGGTTGGAGTAGTTGGAGCCGGTCCTTTGGGCTTGAGAAATGCTGAACAATACATTGTGATACAACGTTGTGATACAACGTGATGCAATAATATGATACACCAGGATACAACCCTGCAACCATCCTACATATCAACTTCAAAAGCTAAGACCGTTCGAGTTGTAGAATTTCTCAGCTGCGAGGCTCTGTGGTAAGTCACAAGTTGCAAAAGCAGCACATGGAGTCGAAGAAGAAAGTTACCTCAAAGCAATTGAGGATCGAGAGGGTAGAAGGAATGTTGGGATGAAGAGAACGGTGCAATGATATCCCAGAAGTCATACTCGTACCTGCCAGAATAGTTATTTGATGCGAAGCTCACGCGTACCTGGAAACTCACAAGCAGCTTTCTGCTTCTGCCTTCGTAACCTATTCAAGAGGTTGGCATAGTACAAGAGTTGCAAATGTGGTCCATAAAGCAATAAGATGCAATAAGTGTGTTTTGCAAGATCTATCAAGATCTCTTTTTCGCTGTAGAACTAAAAGTTGACACAACCTTCCAGTTCCACGATGTTCCACGCATATTCAGCATTTATTCCGCCACGTTCTCTGCAGGAGGGCTACCAGGCCGGATTGCTTGTGTTCGACTGATCATCAGGCAGTTGTTTGTATATTGTTGTATTCTATCATGGGTGTATCATACAACTGCTCATGAGGCTGAAACTAATTAGTGATACAGTATACATGAATCCAATAGTTACATCTATAATTACCATAATATATACATATATATATAATATGTATATATAAAAATTATATAAAGTATATATGTATATTGCCATTATTGCCATTCCAATGTAGAGATCCGACCTCACCCGACATTCTCCGACATGGTCCTCGCGGTTTTGGATTCAAACCCCAGGCCATCCCCCGCAACTTCGGAGCGATGTTCCGCTTCAACGCGGCGGTCATGGGCGTCAGCCGGCAAGACTGGATGTACGAGGCAGGAGTGATGTGGAAGACGGTTAAGCAAAATGTTAAGCAGGTGCTGTTCAAAGAATTTTCAGGAGGTGATGCCAGGTGATGTGGAAAATCAATGAGTAACATAATGCAACAGACATAGTCACAGTCGAATTGCAACATCCACTTGGGACAGTCTTGGACCAGTGATTGCACAGTGGGGACTGTCAAAGCCAAAAGACCATTTTTTTGGCATCAAGAGCAAATTTGCTCTGAACCAGTGACCCTGTGAGGGCAGCAGTCATGGCATGAAAATCTGTGAAAGATCACGAGACAACCGCACCACAAAGTATCATCATGATTGTCTTAACCAAACAGATCAAACAGATCAAACAATCAAACAATCAAACAATCAAACAGATCAAACAGATCAAACAATCAAACAATCAAACAATCAAACAGATCAAACAGATCAAACAATCAAACAGATCAAACAGATCAAACAATCAAACAATCAAACAATCAAACAATCAAACAGATCAAACAGATCAAACAATCAAACAGATCAAACAGATCAAACAGATCAAACAATCAAACAGATCAAACAGATCAAACAATCAAACAATCAAACAGATCAAACAGATCAAACAATCAAACAATCAAACAATCAAACAGATCAAACAGATCAAACAGATCAAACAGATCAAACAATCAAACAATCAAACAATCAAACAGATCAAACAGATCAAACAATCAAACAATCAAACAGATCAAACAGATCAAACAGATCAAACAATCAAACAATCAAACAGTCAAACAGATCAAACAGATGAAACAATCAAACAATCAAACAGATCAAACAGATCAAACAGATCAAACAATCAAACAATCAAACAGATCAAACAGATCAAACAGATCAAACAATCAAACAGATCAAACAGATCAAACAGATCAAACAATCAAACAATCAAACAATCAAACAGATCAAACAGATCAAACAATCAAACAGATCAAACAGATCAAACAATCATATACAATCATATACAATCATATACAATCAAACAGATCAAACAGATCAAACAGATCAAACAGATCAAACAATCAAACCATCAAACAGATCAAACAATCAAACAATCAAACAGATCAAACAGATCAAACAATCAAACAATCAAACAATCAAACAGATCAAACAATCAAACAATCAAACAGATCAAACAATCAAACAACCAAACAGATCAAACAGATCAAACAATCAAACAATCATATACAATCAAACAATCAAACAATCAAACAATCAAACAGATCAAACAGATCAAACAGATAAACAATCAAACAGATCAAACAGATCAAACAATCAAACAATCAAACAGATCAAGCAGATCAAACAATCAAACAATCATATACAATCAAACAATCAAACAATCAAACAATCAAACAGATCAAACAGATCAAACAATCAAACAATCAAACAGATCAAACAGATCAAACAATCAAACAATCAAACAGATCAAACAGATCAAACAATCAAACAATCATATACAATCAAACAATCAAACAATCAAACAATCAAACAATCAAACAATCAAACAGATCAAACAGATCAAACAATCAAACAATCAAACAGATCAAACAGATCAAACAATCAAACAATCAAACAATCAAACAGATCAAACAGATCAAACAATCAAACAATCAAACAGATCAAACAGATCAAACAATCAAACAATCAAACAGATCAAACAGATCAAACAATCAAACAATCAAACAATCAAACAGATCAAACAGATCAAACAATCAAACAATCAAACAGATCAAACAGATCAAACAATCAAACAATCAAACAGATCAAACAGATCAAACAATCAAACAGATCAAACAGATCAAACAGATCAAACAATCAAACAGATCAAACAGATCAAACAGATCAAACAATCATATACAATCAAACAGATCAAACAGATCAAACAGATCAAACAATCAAACAGATCAAACAGATCAAACAATCATATACAATCATATACAATCAAACAGATCAAACAGATCAAACAGATCAAACAGATCAAACAATCAAACAATCAAACAGATCAAACAATCAAACAATCAAACAGATCAAACAGATCAAACAATCAAACAATCAAACAATCAAACAGATCAAACAATCAAACAATCAAACAGATCAAACAGATCAAACAATCAAACACAATCAAACAGATCAAACAGATCAAACAGATCAAACAGATCAAACAATCAAACAAACAGATCAAACAGATCAAACAATCAAACAGATCAAACAGATCAAACAGATCAAACAATCAAACAATCAAACAGATCAAACAGATCAAACAGATCAAACAATCAAACAGATCAAACAGATCAAACAGATCAAACAATCAAACAATCAAACAGATCAAACAGATCAAACAGATCAAACAATCAAACAGATCAAACAGATCAAACAGATCAAACAATCAAACAATCAAACAATCAAACAGATCAAACAGATCAAACAATCAAACAGATCAAACAGATCAAACAATCAAACAATCAAACAGATCAAACAGATCAAACAGATCAAACAATCAAACAATCAAACAGATCAAACAGATCAAACAATCAAACAATCAAACAATCAAACAATCAAACAGATCAAACAGATCAAACAATCAAACAATCAAACAATCAAACAGATCAAACAGATCAAACAATCAAACAATCAAACAATCAAACAGATCAAACAGATCAAACAATCAAACAATCAAACAGATCAAACAGATCAAACAATCAAACAATCAAACAGATCAAACAGATCAAACAATCAAACAATCAAACAATCAAACAGATCAAACAATCAAACAATCAAACAGATCAAACAGATCAAACAATCAAACAACCAAACAGATCAAACAGATCAAACAATCAAACAATCATATACAATCAAACAGATCAAACAATCAAACAATCAAACAGATCAAACAGATCAAACAGATCAAACAGATCATATACAATCAAACAGATCAAACAGATCAAACAGATCAAACAATCAAACAATCAAACAGATCAAACAGATCAAACAATCAAACAATCAAACAGATCAAACAGATCAAACAATCATATACAATCATATACAATCATATAAAATCAAACAGATCAAACAGATCAAACAATCAAACCGATCAAACAATCAAACAATCAAACAATCAAACAGATCAAACAGATCAAACAATCAAACAATCAAACAGATCAAACAGATCAAACAATCAAACAATCAAACAATCAAACAGATCAAACAGATCAAACAATCATATACAATCATATACAATCATATACAATCAAACAGATCAAACAGATCAAACAATCAAACAGATCAAACAATCAAACAGATCAAACAGATCAAACAGATCAAACAATCAAACAATCATATACAATCAAACAGATCAAACAGATCAAACAATCATATACAATCATATACAATCATATACAATCAAACAGATCAAACAATCAAACAATCAAACAATCAAACAATCAAACATATCAAACAGATCAAACAATCAAACAATCAAACAATCAAACAGATCAAACAGATCAAACAATCATATACAATCATATACAATCATATACAATCAAACAGATCAAACAGATCAAACAATCAAACAATCAAACAGATCAAACAGATCAAACAATCATATACAATCATATACAATCATAATTGTCTTATCAACTCAGCCACGGACACCGCCTGGCGAGGTCTTGGACTCGTTTGATGCCATTGTTCGCTGCATCTCCCAGTCTGCTCGCCTGCAGGCGACATGGCCCACGAATATTCGAAGCGGCGTCAAACGTCACGTGCTTGTTATGTTTTTACGTCGTAGCAAGTGTGAAACAAAGAGCTATTAATATTTCACATAGTATTACTAATTGATACTAATTGATACTAATTGCCAGAAGACCTTTGGGAAACGGATGGCAGGGAGCAAAGTTTTCCATCCCGATGGCGAGCTCAGCTTGCACCAGGTGGAATGTGACATCGTGTCCTTGCGCATCGCGCAGATCCGGGGTGAAGTGAAATTCAGCAACTTCAAGGCCTTTGCGCCAATTTCCAGTGAGGACGTCAGGACAGATTGGGGGTCCGTTTCTTTTTGGACCTTTCTTAGACCAGAATAACCAGGTCACCATTGTGTTTGATGCTAAAAGGCATGATTTCATGATCACCACCAGCAAAATTCTCGTTTTTTCCGTTGCTTCTCCGTGGGATTTCCTGGATGCTGGTGCTGGGTGAGGCGGTCATGCTGTCGACCTTGCGGTCTTTGTTTCCGGAGGCAGGGCACAGAAAAAGAAGGCCAAGAAAACCACAAATTCTGACAGGTTTATATTATGATATATTATGGTATATTATGATACATTATGGTTATTCATTCTTCATTATGTTTTATTCCCCACCTGCCAGGTGAGGGTCTCTGGATCTTCACAAAGGTGCAACTCCTTCTCCCCACCCGCCTACTGTTCCGCCAGCTCCGGATGCAGCTGGGCACACCTGGACCCGAAGACATGCCAGATAGAATGCCAGATAGATAGAATGTCAGAAAGTATGTCAGAATAGATGTCAGATTGAATGTTCAGAATACATGTAGGGTTTCTAATTATCTCTGAATTTCCAAGAGCATATGTGCAAACATGTCCGCAGGCCATCGTTCAATCTTGTCGAGCTCTCTTCTCCATTGAACCTGTCATGTCAGAATATATTCATTATATATATATTACGTGTATATATATACACATCATTCATACTCCCAGATGATATGTCAGAAACTATGACAGAATAATTTGTCAGGGTGGGGATCACTCGAAGTAAAGTGATTCAGATGTATCTCGCTTTATGTCATTTTTTAGATTCAGATATTTTTAGATGTTTTTAGCATTTGATCCGACTAGCTAGGGGTTGGGGGTGACATAGTTTGACCCACATTCACGTGTCAAGCGTGGGTGAGGACAGGGGATTTATTTTTTTGAGCAAAACTGAAATGTCAATCATTACCACAGTTTACCACTTTCGAATCAGACAAATGTTGCTTTTCAGCCATGTTGTTTTGACACCGAGAGGCCGAGAGGTGTCCAATTGGAGATATCCAAAATCCATCGCCAGGAATGGGGACCTCCCTACGAAGAAGCGTGGAACTGGCTGTGGAGCACCGTGGAGCGGCTGCTCCGTAAGGAGACCGAAATGGCCTTTGATTCCTGGGATTTCAATGGATTTCATGTGGTTCATGTGACATTCATGTGGGTAGATGATGGTAGATGATGTACTGTAAATTCGGACCATTTTTGATCATTCTTGTGGCACATGGCCATGTGAATGTTCTGAGGTTTCTGATGTCAAGGTCGGACCTGTCAAAGTCACTAGGAGTTGAAGAAGCCTCGAGTGCGCGAGCGTCTTCTGGGCCGCTTCTTAGGACGGGAAGGGGATCAGCAAGGATACCAAAATTAGAAATACCAGAATTTGATAAATATCAAGAAATCAACAAATATCAATAGATATCAACTTAATGCCAAGTTTTCGCAGTTCGAGGGTACAAACTGTCAGATAGGGTTTGGACTTGGTGTGATGATGAGTGAAACTGACACAACAAGATCAGTGCAAATGCAGTGCATTGTCCTCGCGCTCTACTTTGTTTATTGCCGACTCGTTTTCAAGAAGAAACCAGACCAAGAGACTTCCACAAAACCAGAGAGAGCAAGAGAGAGAGAGAGAGAGAGAAAGAGAAAGAGGGTCTTTAAAGGGACGTTGACGATTGCATGCATGACTCAAGAGAGACCAGCTGAAAGAGCAACCCAGAAGTAGAGCAGAAAGCTGTAAAAATAGGAGGAATCCACCAACCAAAGTTTTCAATAGTACCAGCCATTCTCCACCGAAGGATCTATGGACGAGGAACTGGCAGACAAGATTCGAGAGCAGGTTGTTTCCCGAGAGCAGGTCTTTCTCAAATTTGGATAAGGTTGTGCTACAGTTTTCATGAAAACATGTGATCTGCTTGGATTGCAGTACAAGTCTGATACAACACTGAATGATGTCACAAATGGAGCACCAAGAATCGACAAGAGTTTGCAAGATGTTTCTGTAATGAGTATTGCTGCATGTTTGCAACAGTTGTGACTTTTTGGCATTCTAGCTCCAAGGCCTACGACCGCTTCTTCGAACTTGCGCCTGCGGGACAGGAATACTTCAAGCAATCCGCAACACGAAACTTGGCTGACACCAAAAAGATAAGTAAGACATAGTAAGACACTCATGACATGGAAAACGGTTTGCTAGGGCCAACATGGGTCAACATGGCAGACCTCAGGTGCTCCAAGAAAGCGGGTCTTGATCGGTCTTGATATGTCTCATGATGTCTCATGTGTGTTCTCAGTTTTGCACCCGGCCGTTACAAAGGTGTTGAACAATATGTGCACAGTCGAAAAAGACATCTACAGGTTTGATTTCGTGGCAAATAGAGGATTCTCGTCAAATGCAGACGATGCGCGAGTCGTTTGACTGAGGATTGAACTATATTGCTGATCGCGCCATGGAGCTTTCACATGATCTCTACAAGGTGCTTCAGTTTGAAGATCTAAGTGGAAATAGAGTTGCCATGTCCATTCTTCAGATATGTCGAATAATCATGTTGAGGACATTCTGGTTGATCAGATGTCGAATCTGCAAGATCGCACAGGTTTTGGGGATTTCAGGATGAGTAGAACAATTGACTAGCATTGACTAGGATCCAAAAATAGATTCAAAAATGCTCAAAACATCAACGGCATCATCTTTTTAGAATGGCAAGTTTTCGAAACGAAACCCAGGCCATCCCAGGCCCAGGTTTTCACCACAGGATCCATGCGCTACGGTGGATGAGATTGCAGCCCTGGGTCTGCGACACGTGGGTTACGCTGTGCCGGTGGAACTCTTTGACCCCTTCGTCGAAGGTGGGATAATTACGGATCATTTATGATACGCGAAGAATTGCTTGATAAAATTTGGGCACAAAAAGTTCCACCCAAAAATCATGATAATCATGCGTTGTGATGAACACGGAATAGATTTGAGGTGAGGCCACCAAGTCTTGTTTGACAACGCAGCAAAGTGCTAATTTGCCATGAATCCTGTGTCAAATCTCAGCTCCGCAGTATCTTTCCAGGTTTCACATTCGTCAATCTTTCGCCAGGTTGGAGAGAAGTTCTCGTGGAGTTGACCAGTTTCTGGGCATGGGGCCAGGTCGGTTGAGACATCCAAATCTGATTTACTGATCTTACTGGTAACAGATGTATATAACAGATGTAACAGCTGTAACAGCTGTAAGAGATTGAGATGATTGAGGACTTATCATATCCACGATAGATCTTGAATATGAGGTATGATTATCCACTTATTATTATATCATATATTATATATATTATTATTATTAATTATTATTATTATTAATTATTATTATTATGATTATTATTATTATTATATCCACTTATCATATCCACTTATTGATTCCCTGGAGGTTTGAGCTGTTTCACGGCTCTGAGGCGATGCAGATTTAGTGGATGCATTCCACTGGTCCTTTCGCCTGTTGGCTCAACTCCTGGTGAGGACCGACCAACAAACGAAAGCCAAAAACTGCGGTCAAGTGGTGTTCCTGTCTCCTTGAATTTTCATTTATGTTCTACCACTATAGATATCTGATGATATCTGTCAATAGTGGATGTTGAATGATGTTGATGGATTTTCTGTCACTCGGAGTGACCAATTTTTTTGGGCTTTGCTTGGGCTGTTATTCCCCAAAAACGATGGTTGCAATATGGCCAGGACAATCCAGCAAGGAGCTACGCTGGTGATGCGGGCCATCAGTACCAACAGTGGGCGACAGGCTGGCGATTGCAGCCGATATCTCTGGGTGCAGCCAGACCCTTTAATCATTGGATTGGTTTAAGGGAAAATCTACAGGAAACCATGGTTTGTATTACCATTAAATATGGGGGTTTCCTGTAAATTTTCCCTTAAACCAACCCAGTGATTTAACCATCTGCAAAACCTTTAGCACTACAGCACTACCCGTGGGGTTGTACGGAAAGATCACTTTGGACAAAGCTGCGGTGCAGGTACGGAAAGCTTTATCCTACGCCCCAAGGAAGAAACGGTCGCTCTGGGTCTTGAATGTCACTGCCGCCAAGCTGCAGAGTGGGCTATGTGCTTCATTTGATCCAACAGTCCTTGATTTTGCGCAAAGATCTCCGTGAGACACGTTCCAAACTGAATTTCATCCGGGTGAGATGAGAGAGAGAGAGAGAGCGATTCATGCTGCTGTGCCAATTCAAATCCTGAACCATTTTAACCGTTTTAACTTTGGTTTCTTAGAATCTCTCTAGATGGATGGTATTGACCAACCACCTGCTGAAATCGTCTATCGCAAGGCCGATGGCAATGGGTCTATATACACACTACATTTACAAATGATTTATAAATGACTTATAATATAATATATATATATTATATACATATATATATATATATACATATATAATCATATATATATATGTACATATATATACATATATATATATATACATATATATATATATATTTATACATATATATATATGGATTTACCGATAACTCTGCAGAGGATGAACAAAACAAAAGATCCACCTACAGGTGAGGTTATGTCAACATATGTCAACTATAACCCCTTGGAGGCAAGGACAACTTGCCCAGGTTGGCTCCCAGTCCATCTCACCACTCTTGGTGTCCATTGAGAGTGGCAATATGGAAGCGGCCAAGGTGGGCAATTTATGGCAATTCAGCCAGATTTTGGTGAGATTTGGTAGACATTTGTCGCCCGGGACTCATACATAAAGGATATAGCCATCAGATACCCCAACTCAACCAAAAAGCAGCAGAAAAAATACCAGGGTTGAATAAAAGTTGAATTTATATATATACATAATTAATTATTATTAAATTATAATTATATATATATATAATTATATATATATAATTATATATATAATTATATATATATAATTATATATATAAATGAAGCTTTGAAGGCTTCCGAAGACCTGTCGATTCTCCCAACTTTGGTGACCTGATGTGACCTGTTGCGCCAGACCATGTTGCAAGACCTCATGGTGATCAGAGCTGATCGAGCCAGGCTGCACTGCTGCACTGCCTTGGATAGCGTGGATGAAACCTTGTAGATCCTTGCAGCTTGAATTTATATCTATATCTATATCTATATATATATATATTATAGACGATTATAGACGTTATATATTTATGATATTGTGGAAACAGATTGAAACGGTATGTTATTAAGATGTGTGTATGATTGAAGGGATCCATTGTTTGCAGTCATGTTGATCTCATTTTATATCACCCTTAGAGATCCCCTGTAAATTCCGCAACATTTTTGCCAAGCAGTGAATGGAACTGTTAGTTGCTCTGTTGGGGTGTTGCAGGTACTACTATGGTCTTAACGACCTGTTCAAGCGACATCCAGATATGGTGGAGATCCTCACACAGACGGCACCGGCACGCCTGACATGTGCGGCGTCAACCATAGGAATCCATAACTATTTGCAGGGAACAGGCGTGAAGGAAGGCAATGTGTACTGGCCAATTTTAGTCGGGAGAGCAGCATATTTCGGTGCAGTGCAGGTTTTTTTCATTTCTGTTTCGATCTATTTCGGAGATGCATCAGGTGTAAAAATTCACCAGCCAGGAGCTTTTGCCCACGATGTTGGATGGAATGATTTGGAGGCATGGTCTGGGGAATCGAAGAATCGAACAAGACGACCGTTGCTCTGGGGCCGTAGAATCTCCATGTTGCGTGCATTGGATTTCATACTCAGCGTAGCACCAATTCCAGTTGATCTTCATGGAGTTCCAGTGGTTGTCGCTAAACCCAGCCCTAAACCGTGGCTCTCATCAGTTGCATTGGTCCAATATCCCAAAGCCGCAGGTCTCGCACCGCTGTGGGGGGCATGCGACGGGTCAACTACTACTTGAAGCACCTCTTGGTAGATGCTTGGTTGCTGACGGGGTTCAATTGGGACCACGCAGAGAAGAGTTTTTTGGCATTGTTTGGCCAATTGTGACAATAAAGTGCGGATTCAATGAAAGGAAACAATTAGAAACAATGAATGGATGGGGTACCTTATCTCCAGGAGGCAAGCAATACCTATGTGCACAGATTGATCACCTTGGGATTGGGTTTGGAAATCGGATATCCTGAGAAATCCTGACCAAGATGAGAATGGCAAAACATGGCAAAACACAACACGGTTTCATGTGGTTTCATCATGTTTCATCCGGTTTCTCAGGATGAAGAGGGCCGCTTCGCCACAGTCTCTTGGCGCTCACGGCGGTCACGGGTCACACGGTCACACGCCTTTCACATATCGCATGGCGTCGAGGCCATGAGCTCCGTGGTGAAACTTTCAGATCCCAATCTCGCGGTGCATCCACTGCTTGAGACCTTGTGCGATATTATGTGGAAACTTCGCTGGACATTGGACATTAGACATTTTACATCATTTTACGGTGTTTATCCGTGATATTTCGTGATAAATTCGTTCCAAGGAAATTTAAATTTGAAATACTGCAGTCGTACTGCGGGTCCTGGGGCGTCCAGGGGTGTAGAGGTATTCCGGATGTATGGTATGTATGGTCCACAGGGGAATCTCTTGAAGTAGAATCCACATTTTTCTCCAAATTGTCTGGTGTTTCGCGAACCAAGAACCGGCATGTCTGATGACGGAAATGCCAATTTAAGTGCACCGGACGAAGATATTCAAAAGATTTCAGAAGCTACAGTACTAGATTTACATAGATTTACTAGGAAATGACATGAAATGACTGGAATTTGGCCTGAGGAGATTCATCGGCTGTGGCACTTCTTTACTGAAAAAGCATCTTAGTCTTATGGATCTTAGTCGGCGCATCTTTTCGCCAATTCCTAGCTCTCCAAGGGAGTTCCAGTTGAGCTGTTTCCAGGAAATTCGGGATGCTCAGTGATTTAGAGATATTTAGAGTATCTTGCTGATTAATAGTATACATTACCTGAGAATCAATGACCTCATGGTTAGATTACCATAGATTACCCCTGAATACTGATCTTGATATTATCTTTATATAGTTCATATGTGATATACCATTGCGATATGTTGGAATCACTGGACCGATGCTCAGGACAGACTTGGTACATTGGCGCTTTCTGCGAAGTGACCTTGCCAGCAGTTGAGATTGGCAATGACAAGTGGCCACATGCAACAGAGGAGGCTGCTAGCACACGCACACACACATTCTGCATACAAATCCAAGCCCACTAGAAACAACTGGGAAAAAACGCAAGGATGCAGAAAACAAGGCCTTTTCCCATCATGTCATAGTGCGTGTTTATTTTATATGTCTATATACACTCAAATACATAAATACGAAATAAATGGAACGGACTGGAATGGAATGAAATGAATAAATTAATGAATGAATAAATGAATAAATGGATAAAAATAAGTAAACATAAAGATTCAATAAATATGTAAATAAATGAATGGAATGGAACGGAATGGAACGGAAAGGAATGAAAGGAATGAAAGGAATGAAAGGAATGAAAGGAATGAAAGGAATGAAAGGAATGAAAGGAATGAAAGGAATGAAAGGAATGAAAGGAATGAAAGGAATGAAAGGAATGAAAGGAATGAAAGGAATGAAAGGAATGGAAGGAATGGAAGGAATGGAAGGAATGGAAGGAATGGAAGGAATGGAAGGAATGGAAGGAATGGAAAGGAATATAGGAATGAACGAATCTATATGTATATATATATATTGGACGTGTCAGGATATTGTCATAGCCATCTCCCAGGATTTGGCACCTTGATCCACCTCTCCCAAGGTAAGCTGCGGCTTCTCCTGACCACTGTGATTTTTATCCTGGGCCAATCTGTGCTTCATCATCTCGACGGTGCGTTCTCGCGGGAAGGGGTAGTTCTAACATGTTCCACCCAGTTGGACGATTGAAAACCCTGGGATTCCATGATACTTTACCATACTTTACCTTTCACAGTATGAACTGGTTTACAGTAGATTTTTGATGATTTTTAATGTATAGCTAAAGCCATGTCACTTCATAGGAAAAACTGGTTCGGGACCGAATGGAGAAAGGCAAACTCCACGTATCCCCCCAACATAGCACCATATAGCACCTGTGTACAAATACCCTCGCCTCGCGGTGCAGGTTCAATGGCCAATCGCATCGCAACCTTCGCTTGCAGGTTTGTCAACTGCAACTATGTGGCAAAGGTTTCATAAGAATTGCTAATAAATATGGTGGCTCATAGTTGTTTAATGTTTTTTGGCATTTGCAGGTTTGAGGGAATTCAAGCTGTCAGCAATACTGTGCCGTACCTCTTTGCACACAATTCTAGAGCCACACCTTTTGCCCAAGTTTCGTCGCTAATCTGCGAAACCTGGGATCTTCACAGCCTCGAAACATGTCGAAACCTTGAATCAGGGTGTTGATCTACCTCTACTTCATGGTGGGGCTCATCTATGACCGGGCAAGACATGTCTATCAGGCAAGACAGGAAGCTGTCGCATGCCTAGAAGTAACATAAGCAACTGTGCTTGGCAAGCTGAGAGCGCGACAAGTATAATATTATGATTGTTCTAGGCATGTATATGATATAACCCTTTCTTGAACTGTGTGGGCAGCTTCACACTTCTGGTGATGTAAAGTGTAAACAAAATGCATATAGGAGTTATGCAACAAGTATTGACGAGCATGATAAATATACGTACGAATGGTTTCACGAGAACTTTTGGGAATGCCAGCATCGAACGAACCACAATGGGAAAAAGAACATAAAGGAACACTTGACTCAGCAGTTTCTCGATTTTCATAGCTTTCTGGGAACGTCATGATTTGCCAAGTATACCGGACATTCCATGGACGTCATGCTGCACGAGGCAATCAAGAAAAGGCACCTCACGATGGTTGGTGGCATTCGAGTACCGAGGCGCTGACACTGCCGTCTTCAAGTGGTTGGGACCGGTTGGGATTGTCATGCCATGTTCGTTCATCGTCCCGTTGAGGCAGTGAGGTCAGTGTTTTTTTTCGCGTTTGCACTGGTAAAGGTGCATGGTGACATGGTGCATCTTTGGAATCTTTGGAATCTTTGGATGTTGTGACATGTTGTGACTGTGTAGCCATGTGTAGCCATGTGTAGCCCATTCTTCTTGGATTTCTGACAGGAAGTGGGTGGAAGACTGGCAAGAATGCGTGGGAGCTCTCAGAAATTTCCAAAGTTTCAGACCTATGCACTTAGATTGCATAGATTGCTGGGTGCTTTCAGGTGCGGTTGAAGCTCAATTCTACGATTCTACTACGTTAAAATAACGAACTTTCTGTCAACTAGCAAAGCACTTTGATTCTGGCGAAGTTGCTTTCGTGCAGGATTTCTCAGACCGCCAGGATAGATGTTTCTGCTGAGGTCAGTTTGATCTTGACAGTGCTTGTGGTAGTGATGTTTTACTTGGCCGCTTGGACGTGAAATCACAGCGATGCCAAGATTCCAGGTTCATCCAGGTTCGTGCAAAGCTTTGTGCTTGGGAATCGATTTGGAAAAACTTTGGTTTGTTCGATTTTGCAACGTCGAAGACTGACATCGCATTTGGTGAATCTGTAGGGCACACCATCGCTTGAAGCATCACTGCAACTGAGGAGCCAGTCATCTACTGTCTGCAGAGTGATCATGGAAGCTTCACACAGAACTGTGACCAGGCAGGTTGACAAAGTGTTGTGGAACGTCATATCACCTGGGATGGGTTGATGAGGCGAAGAGTTTGCAAGAGCCTTACCAGATCCTGTCCATGCTGGTTGGGACCTCAATCGAAAGTGCCAGTGCCACCAGAAAGAGTTGGAGCATGCTGTGGAATTGTGCAATGAGAGAGTTTGGTGTGGAAGCAGTGTGAATGTAAAAAAATGCAAAATCCGCCCACACCGCTTTGGCGGTGAAGGCGTGCTTATTGGGGGGCAAAACAGCACACTAAATGCTCAATGACATTTGTTAATATAGCAGTCGCTATATCAGCTTTAGCTGGGGGCGGGGGGGCCAAAAACGGTTTCGCACCGAGACCAGAATACGGTGGTGTTTTCGACATTTTTCGAGGATTTTTGGGTGTCTGAGCGCAAGAGGGTATTGAAATGGAATTTTGGGTCATTTTGGTAGCTTTCCGGCAATGGAAAAACGGCCAAAAATGAAAAAAACATTGTACATAGCAAGATTTTGCAGGGTTTTTGGATGCCAGAGCATTGAAAACACTGCAAAAACAAGTGTTTTGGACTGACGTTATAGCAAAAAACGTGTAAATTACCGTATGCTTGACTGGAAACATTACAAAAACACTGTCAAAAGCAATGTTTTGGAAGGATTTACTGCCTTTATGGCAAAAAACGTGTAAATTACCGTCTGTTTGACTGGAAACATTGGAAAAACACTGTCAAAAACAATGTTTTGGAAGGATTTCTTATATATATGTTGGAGTTGGCTACCGGCATTGGAACATGGAAAAATTGAAGAAAACACTGTAAATAGCGGTATTTTCAACGGTTGGGGAGATAAGGGAATTGGAAGCATTGTCGAACATGATGTTTTCGACCGGTTTTATGGCGACAAAAGTGTAAAGTACCGTGCTTTGAAGGAAACCATTGCAAAAACATGGAAACACATTCAAAGAACACGGGATTTGCGGGGACTATCTAGGCGTCGTTGTCTAGCTATTTGAAATTCCTCAGCTTGGCGAGCCTCCAAGGGAGGGAAAAGTGAAAATTCCATAGCTTGGGAAGCTGTCACGGCGGGGAAAAGTGAAAATTCCCTAGCTTGGGAAGCCCCCACGGGGGGGAAAAGTGAAAATTCCCTAGCTTGGGGAGCCCCCACGGGGGGGAAAAGTGAAAATTCCCTAGCTTGGGGAGCCCCCACGGGGGGGAAAAGTGAAAATTCCCTAGCTTGGGGAGCCCCCACGGGGGGAAAAGTGAAAATTCCCTAGCTTGGGGAGCCCCCACGGGGGGGAAAAGTGAAAATTCCCTAGCTTGGGGAGCCCCCACGGGGGGGGAAAGTGAAAATTCCCAGCTTGGGGAGCCCACACGGGGGAAAACCACCCTTAGCCCCTCTCACGGACCGAAATAAACCTGCGGTGTGGGCGGCCACCCCACGCGAAGCGGGGTGAATATAAATATGTATATACGTGTAAATACTAGCTATTGGAACACAAGTTGTAAACGTGTACATGTCTATATAAATATATCTAAATTATAAATTATAAAGGATTCCACGTCATGCCTGGGCCATGCCTGTCTCAGCGCAGTGAAGCAAGGCCATCCTGCTGCAATTTTCCCTCATCATCGATGTGGCAACAATTTCCACGAGGTTTCGAATCGAGAACTGTGACCCCTGAAGACTGAGTACAGTAAGGCAGTCTTGAGCAAGGTGTAGTCTTTGTATGTCTTTGTATATCTTTGTATCAGTGAGAATCAATCAGTGATCAGGTAGTTCCCTTGAAACATGCTTCCAGAATACTTGGATATAACTGGCATCCATTGGCCTGAGAAATCGGCCGCCCTACCCCGAATGTGACTCCGAATGTGCCGCCAGGTTGTCTTCGTGGGTGCTGCTTGCTGGTCATGTTCTGCCAGAGTTTGACGGGAGGCTCAGCGGGACGACTGCAGGTGCTTGTGTCACGGCATGTCAAGGCATTGCTTGTCGCAAGACTCAAACCATCACAACGTATCACAACGACCTGGTAATTGTGGTAGCATGTGATGATCATTTTGCCAAAGTTTCACAACGTTTCCATGTAGTTTCCATTCATTTCAAATGTTTCTTTCCCGTGGCGGTTTTTGCTCGACACGTCACCAGAGTCACCAGATCCTGAGGTCATGACGTGTCTCGCCTGTGCGTTTCTCATCCTGCCTGGGAACCAAAGTGGACGACGTGGACGTGCAGGGTGGGTCAGAGATGTCAGAGTGATGGTGAGAATCAGAAGCGAACACAAACAAAACATAACAAAACTAGGATCTGAATGGATCTATGATCTATAACTAGGATATACTAGGATTAACTAGGTGAATATCCCAGCATACTCTGGTTGGATCATGTTAGATCTGGTGAATCTTGTCAGTACAATCTGAACTGTATGTTCATTCTGTGGATGTTCACCAAAGCCATTGGATCTCCCTGCGCACTCATGTCATGTCATGTCAACATGGCTCTGAGGACTTTCAGTTGCAGTGTGTCTGCTTCCAGTGAGAATCCAGAGGCTGCGGGTTGTTGCAGTTTGATGGTGGCCATGACATTCAACAGGTTTTCACTGAGGGGATCCAGAATTGCGGAGTTTAGCAATTGCATTTTGAAGTGACAAGAGCGAAGATGTTCTTTTCGTTGCGCTGCGATGTGTTTTGCATTACATGAGTGTTTCACGTGACTTCCCTCTCCCTGCAGGTTTCAAATGGTTTTAATGTAACATGCCTCACAGATCCTCACAGATCCTCACAGCAGAAAAGCGCCGGGGAAGTTCCATTGGCAGCTGAAAACGTCCGCAGGATTTCGATAACATCTTTGGGTCCATGATGAGTTTCTTCAAGTTGACTGTAACCGACCCAGCCTTTGAAGCTTCACAGTGGTCGCTGCAGATACCTTCAGTATTCAGTGCAGAAATAGGTGGATCAATGGTGGATATCAGTGGAGATGTGGCCGTCATCGTTTCGTCTGGCAGAATCCATTGGAATCCCGAATCCTGATGAGTCTAGGGTCAGCTTGGTCAGCTCGAGATGCAGCCTGCCTTTGATGAAACCAAGGAAGTCTTCAACATATGTTTGACCTTGAACCATCTTGAAGCCATGCTTCAGACAAATCGAATTGACCATAATTGACCCATCACTTCAAACATTTCTGATGGCTGGCCTCTAGGTGAGTATGTACCCTGCAAGCAGCTTCGTTGCTCTGGAGGACTCAAGCTTTGGGCTGCTGTTTGTCATGATGAGTCATGCCCCGTAGGGTTGGATGCAAAGAATCGCTGCACAAGGCCGACATTCTGAACGCAACACTTGGCAAAGAAGTGTGATCAAACATGGTTTATACTAGTTTATACTGTTGATTATCGTTGAAACCCGGCTCAAGTTGCGAAGATCTGTTGATGTTTAATGGTCATGTTCATCTCTGAAGTCCATGACACCTGGCATCTTCCGGAGGACAGCATTTTGGTCCTGTTCATCACAAGCTGTTTTCGATTGATCGCTGGGAAGCTCAGATCTCGGATTGCGCTCAGACCGCTGGTCATGTCATGTGTGCCAGGCCGGTGGAGGAAGCTTCCACATATTAATATACAGTATAAGTATGATACAATACAATACAGTATATTATATAAATATATGAAATATAAGTATATGATATATGTAAAAAATGAAATAAATAAATAAGTAAATAAATAAATAAATAAGTAAATACATAATATATACATATATATATATGTATATCATTTCATATCGGGAAAGAGGGAGGCATGATGCGTCACACAGCACCATCGAAGTGTCTGTCACATTCTTTGTTTCCTGTTTGACATTAGACCGTCCGCAGGTGATTTTCTTCCTCATGAAGCTGTTGATTGCCCAACTCACTTGTGCTTGGCTTAAGGGTATGGAGGGCCAGCTGGCGGGAGCAAGGTTGATTTCGGCAAAGTTGGGAAGATCTGAAATAAGGCCTGAAAGGAATGGAACAACCCAACCCAGCCAAGGGGACACGGAGTAGAAACGAAAAGCCCGCCACCTTGTCACCGGGTGAGAAGGGACTGTTGGAGTCATCCTTATGTCATCCTTATGTCATCCTTATGTCATCCTTGCATTCCTTAAATCCGAGGTGAGTACCGGCGCATCTACCGCCTCATGATGGGGCACGCTCGTCTCTGCGAGACGCCCAGATGATTGCAGTGATGTGGCACCGTGGATGCTTCACACGGTAGATGTATGCCCATTTGCTGAACATATGGGTGTCCTCAGGTAGAATGTGGAAGATATGCGAGGCCGGATTTGGCACCTTCGAAGTGGTTGAAGACATTGAATATGATTCAGCTAAATTATATATTCAGCTTGCATTTCTGTTCAAGAATGTTTGGGGCTGTGCAACAAGACAGGTTACCAGCCGGTCGGCCATCTATCAATCTTCAAACATATTCATCATGCATGTTATTGTCCATCTAACAAATATCAAATGATGAATAGGATTGAATAGTTCATCCAACAAATAAAGGCATATCCAACGGGATAAGTACAAAATGGTGAACATTTAGGCATATTCCATTATATTCCAACTGGTATGTGGGATCTCCCATTTTTATCTCCCAGTTTTATCATGTTTTATCTCCAATGTTTGTTATTTCCCATTTAGAACACGTTTAAATAATGTTGATAAACCAATAATAATAATAGTAATAATAATAATAATAATATAAACTGCTGGGAATCCAGTACATGTCCCATTTCATTTTCCCTTTGTGCCAGCAGGTTTCAAATTCATTTGTGCTGTGATCCGCAGCTACCTTTTAGCATTTGCCCAACGCTGCTGACTTCAGCGAATGGCGAAAACCCTTTGAGCAGCCGCTGTTTTGCAGGCGGGAAGACGGTGGAGGTGGCGAGCCTGGTAGGTGATTCTATCAGGTTATGAGCCCAAGGGTGGCTTAGCTGCTGCGCTTGGCAATGATGTTTACAAGGAGAAGGGCAACACCAGCAGAGCTGGAGGAAGGCAACAACCAGATCCTTCAAGCCCAACAGAGACTTGACGCAGAAATAGCAGCAGGTTCAGAAAAGGCAATAGAAGATGAGAAGGGTCTGGAAACCAAGGTTTCAGAGTCCCCCAAATCACCCGTGAAGGAAGAGAGTTTGGGAAGAGAGGAAGAGCCTAGAAGTTTTCCAACCTCAATCATCCCTGCTGTACCTGGACAGGAAATTTCTCAGGTGACACCTGCGACGCCAGCTAGTCAGGTGAGAACCCAGGTGAAAACACCAGCACTGACCCCTGGAGCACGAGGTGAATCTTCAGGTGCCGTAGCTGTTCAACATGAAGCAGTTGTTCCTGTGGCGATGGAAGCGATTGCCACAGACTCCAAAATGATCGAGAATGGAGGGTCCGCAGATCTTCCTCGAGTACTGGATGTTTCTGGCCAAGGGCAACCAGTTCCCGTGTCCTTGACGCCTGGGACCCAATCTGGTGCCTCACCGCCGCAGCAACCTCTTTTTGATGACCAACAACTTCGCAGGTTTCAAGAACTTTTTCAACAAGCTCCTTGGCTGTACCCTGGTGGTTCTGTGGCATTCCACCAACCAGCCATTCAACCTCCAATCTCGAGACCTCTTTTTCTCGAGCAAGATGAACGTAGGATGCAAGAAACTGTTGGGATGGGTTCGCAATATGTATACCCATATGGACCTACAGTTGGGGTTCGGGAAAATTTGGAGTTGAAAAGGGGAATTAAAGAAGTTTTGGAAGAAAATAGGAAGTTGAGGGAGAAGGTTGAACGTCTTGAGAAGGCGCAGCTATCCCAATCTGAAGAGGATCCAAAGTTTTCAACACCAACAGGAGATAACCCAAAGGAGGCTGAGACCCCCTACCAGGAGGCTGATAGACCACCAAAGGGAAGTCAGTCGTACCACCGTGTTTCAAAGGAGGCTGAGACCCCCCACCAGGAGGCTGATAGACCACCAAAGGGAAGTCAGCATGTGCGCCAGGTATCAAAGGAGGCTGAGACCCCCTACCAGGAGGCTGAAAGACCACCAAAGCCCGAAGGCCGCCAAAGATCGAAGACCCCAGAAAGAAAGGAGGCTGATAGACCCCCAAAGAATGGAAGTGATGAAGAACCAACGACTGTGAAAGTCATGCTGAAGCTCATGGAGGGCATGCAGGCGATTCAACGTCAGATGTTGGAACATCGAGATGAGGACAATGCGACTGAATCAGTCCGACAAGCTCCAGCACTACCAGCCCTTTCAGAGTGGAGTGCAACTATGGGTCCAATTGATCTCAACGACTGGATGGCGCTCATCGAGCCTATGATGTGCGACCTTAGCAACTCCAGTGCGCAATGGTGGCAACAGCTTGTCATGGAGGCCCACCTTTGGTATCAACGGCATCTTCAACTACCACCTCTTGATCGAGTTGCACATGTACCAGCTCCCTCACCGGAATTGGCCAAACCCAAATGGGCCAGGCTGGAACGTCGAGCTTCGACACTTCTGCTGATGGCAGTTCCTGAAGGTCAACGAGAAGAACTCATTTCAGCCAAAAGGCTGAGTGCGATGGCAATCATTTGCCAACTCCTGGTCACTTACCAGCCAGGAGGCCTTGCAGAGAAGGAATTGATCCTGAGGTCCCTTGAGCCCCCCCCGGAGTCAGCAAACCTTGTGGAGGCTGTGCAAAGCCTTCGCAGATGGGCGCGCTGGAGACGACGTGCAGCAGACCTACAGATCTCCGAGCCGGACCCTTTTCTTCTTGAAGGGCCTCAACAGGATCATCAAAAAACCTTTGGAGAACAACCGAGACCTTTCCTTCAGGATAAGTCTTGCAAGATCTACATTGCAGGTGGATTCAACTCCGACTTCAACTTCGGTGACTTCCTTTGCCCTACACCTTGTCGCTGAGTTCGAGCAGGTCGTCCATCAGGAGACTTCAAATGCATCGAAGAAGCGTGTGGAACCAGAGAAAGCGAAGGTGTCCAAGCTGAAGAAGTTAGAAGAAGAAGGAAGATCGCCGACAAAGAAGGAGGAGCAGAAGGAGGAAAAAGGGAGGTGTAAGTTTTTCCTGTCAGAACAGGGATTTAGAAGAGGAAAGATGTGCAGTTGGTCGCATGACCAGAAGGACGAAAAAAGAAGATGTTGGAATTGTGGTTGTCCTGATCACATGTCACCAAGCTGTCCACGACCAAAGGACAGAAATGACCAGTCGCCGCAAAAGCCAAAGATCCAGAAGGCCGAGGGGGAGGAGACTTCATCACCGACGAGCTCTACGAAAGGCAAAGAAGAGGAGGTGTCTGAGACAGCTTCTATGAAGGAGTTGCTTGAGCAGGCCAACACAATGCTCAAGTCGCTGACATCATCTAATCCATCTACATCTTCAAGTACAACATCAAGCTCCACGGAAAACAAGGATGAGGTGATGGACCGACTTCAACAACAACTCAACCAGTTGAAACTCAAGGTGTTCAAGATCAACCAGATCTCCCATGGCCAACATCAAGGCCTGATTGACTCGGGGGCCACACATCCCTTGCGTCCGAGAAGGCCTGGTGAATGCGATTTGTCCTACAAGAAGGTTTCAGTGACTTTGGCAAATGGCGAATCTACAACTCTGCAGGTGACTCCCGGTGGCATCATGGTCACAGATCGACATGACGTCGAACCAATTTTGCCTATGGGACAGCTGGTCCATGACTTGGGATGTCAGGTCAAATGGGCTGGAGAAACTCTGAATGTCGTCCATCCTGTGCGAGGGCAACTACCAGTTGAAAACCGCAATGGATGCCCACAGCTTCCAAGGACTTTGGCTTTGGAACTGATCGAAGAGATGGAGACAACAGGAGTTCAGAAGAGCATGAAAAGCATCAGTTTTGAGAAGGAAAAGAAATGGATGGAAGATCTTGTGGAAAGCCACCCTGTTTTGCGAGGCCTTCCACAACACGTCAAAAGCCGCTTGGTCACTGACATCGGAGACTGGAAGGATCTGCCGGTGAACAGAAGACAACGAAAGCGCTTGCAAAGAGATGGCTTTCTTTTGCACTTGTACGCAGGAGAACAAGATGGCTTCACCTTGTCAAGAGCCTGGAAGCAGCAAGGTGGAATGGAGACCCAACTCTTGGAGATCGATGTCAAGAGAGGAGAAGGTCACAACATGTTGCTCGACAATGGTGTCTACGCTGGACTTCTTCGAGCAGCCCTACAAGATCGAATTGATGCGGTCATCACTGGCCCAAACTGCCGGACTAGATCGGTCCTGAGGCACTACCCACGTGAAAATGCTCCGCGACCAGTGAGGGCATGGAATGGTGAAGAGTATGGATTGGCTGATCTGACCCCAGCCGAAAAAATCCAGGTTGAGGAGGACGACATCCTTCTTTGGAGATCGATCTTCTTGTGGATGATCTCAACCTACCTTCGACGAGCTCGACAAGTTCGAAAAGAAGTTGGATTTCTTTTGGAGCAGCCTGCAACACCGAAAAGCTACATGCCCCAATGTGTGTCCTTCTGGGATACTGAAGAGTGGTCAAAGCTGAAGGAAGAATTTGAGTTCTCTGAGACCACCTTTTGCCAGTGACATCATGGAGGTGCAGCGACAAAACCCACAACGATGGCAGGAAATTTGGAGCTGCGTCCAGAAGAACATCGAATGAGAAAGACTTCCTCTACTACAATCAGATCTTCAGCAGAACTGTCTCGATGGGCCCCAGGTGTGATGAACATGGTGGCTGAGGCACTTCTGACTCAAGTTATCAATCGGCAGCCAAAGATTTCTTCTTTGTCATGGGAAGAACATCTACGACATGGACACATACCTTTCAGGAGAGACTGTCTGGTGTGTCAACAATCTCTACAACAACAACCGCCTCACAGAAAAGTGAAGCATCCCTTGGGAGGCGTCCTGTCCATCGACACAACAGGGCCCTTCATCAGAGCCTATGATGCAGGTGGCTACAAGTCTGCATACATCTTGGTTGGCGCTCTCACTTGGACGGTGCCAAAAGACTCCAAAATTCGAGAAGAAGAAGTACCAGAACTTGAAGGCGAAGCCCCAAACTTTGAAGCCAGAAAAGATGAAGAAGTGATTGCGATGGAAGATCAACATGATCAACCTCAAGAGCAGCCTCAGGGAATCCTTGATGACGAAGAACTAGAAGTTGAGGAGCGTCAAAGGGCCCCAGAGGGTGAGGATGAAGTTCCAAAAGTTGAGGAGTGTCAAAGGGCCCCAGAGGGTGAGGCTGAAAGAAAAGAAGAAGAAAAGGAGGAGTTCGAGACGCGAGTTTTTCGTCTTGCGGCTCCTATGTACTCAAAGAAGGCAACTGAAGTCACCCGAGCGGTGATGGACATGATGCTCCGTCTTCGAGCTGACGGGTACCACATTGGCCATATCCACAGCGATCAGGGCCATGAGTTTCAAGGCCATTTCAAAAGATGGTGCCGAGAAAGAGGAGTTCTTCTGACAAGGACACCAGGAGATGATCCAAGAGCCAATGGGCGTGCTGAGACGGCAGTGAAGTCCATAAAGACACAAGTCAGGAGGATCCTACTTCAGGCACAAGCAGAACCAACATGGTGGCCTTGGGCGACACGATATGTCAACGAGCTCAACCGTTCAGTCAGGCTTGCAAAGACCCCTGACTACCCTCCTTTTCTCTCCGACATCATGGTCAGAAAGCGAAGATGGAGGAGAGGAACCTTCGAAACTTCCACAGAAACCGTGAAGTATCTCTGTCCTGCTCCTGAAGAACATGGACACTGGGTCATGCCAAAGGACGAAGCTCCGAGAATCACAAAGCTCATCATGAAGGCGACACACCTTCCGTTGGCTGAGGAACAGTGGATGGCTTTGGAGCGAGAATCCTTGGATGCCTTAGCTGTCAGAAGAAGGATGAGAGGAAAATCAACAATAAGAAAGCTTCAAGAGGAGGACAGAGAAGGTAAAGAAGAAGAGGAGGAAAAGAAGCGAAGAGTGTACATGCTCCGCCTGATTGAAAAGGAGATGTGCCTCATGGTCGATGACGACCCCGAGCTGGCCAAAGAAGAGTTCCAGATCTTGGCCAACATCAGAAAGATGGCATCTGTGCCGAATGAGGAAGAAGAAGTTCTGCAGACACGGATTGTGTCGCCAAAAGAGGTTTCAGATCACTGGCCAGATTGGATTCCAGCGGCCAAAAGCGAGGTCGACTCACTTCTCTATGACAAGCAGGCCTTCAAGGAGATTGGACCTGAAGAACTTTCTCAACTACGACAAGAAGCAGAGAAGGCTGGAAGAGGAATCGAGTTCATTCCTTCAAAGCTGGTCTTCACTCGAAAGCCTGGTCCAGACGGAGGTCGAAAAAAGATGAGGTGGGTGGCTTGTGGAAACCTCGAACCCAAGAAGGAGGACGAGGACAACTTCAGCTCAGGAGCCGATGCAGCATCACTGAGAATCTTGGCGTGGTGCGCAGCGCTTTTCCAATGGAGCGCCTCAGTTCTGGATGTTCGAACGGCATTCTTGAATGCCAAGATGGTGCTTTCTGAAGATGAGGATGTGATCCTTGTCAAACCTCCCTGGCTTTTGACAGAAAAAGCCTACCTTCGGAAGGATGTGTACTACCTCCCTGAGAAGGCCATCTACGGCTTGAGACGGTCACCGAAACTTTGTGGCATTACAAGAGATGAGACCATCTCGTCCCTGGAAATTCAGGGGGAGTACAACGGCAAGAACATGGACTTCCACTTTGAAGCCCTGCAGTCAGAACCCAACTTGTGGCGCCTTGTCAACTCCAATGACGATGAGGACACCACTACCTATGCGATGCTGATGACCTATGTGGACGACATCATGCTGGCGTCGTCTCCCAACTTGCTCAACATCATCCAGGAGAAGCTTCGAACGACATGGAGCACTTCAACCCCGGAGATGGTTGGCGAAACTCCAGTGCGTTTTCTTGGAGTTGAGATCTCAAAGACATGGTGTGATCAACTACAACGTGAAGTTTGGATGGTCACTCAGCAGAGCTACACCACCGACATGGTACAGAAGGAGACCGACCTCAAGGCCAAAAAGATCCCAATTTCAAGGGATCAATCTCAAATGGGGCCATCAACGGAAGCTCCAACCACAGAGATGATTCGTGCGGCTCAGAAGGCCGTTGGAGAAGTCCTCTGGCTCACCACTCGGGCCAGACCGGACATTATGTTCACAGTGGCCCGAATGGGGTCATCAGTGACGAAAGCCCCTGAAGCAGTGCTGAAGGCCTCAATCCAGCTCAAAGGCTATTTGAAGGCTACGTCCAATGAGGGCCTGATCTTCAAGGTTGGTGAGAACGAACACCCAGTTCTCACGGTGTTCACGGATGCCAGTTTTGCCCCAGATTCCCAGGAGTCTCATGGGTCCTTCATAGTAATGTTGGGGGCCACACCCATTTTCTGGCGGTCTGGAAGACAAGGATTTGTGACACTCAGCACAGCAGAGGCCGAGCTGACCGAAATCGTAGAAGGGATGATAGCAGGGGAGTCAATCTTTGTCATCCTTGCTGAGCTGTTCCCAAAGATCTCCAAGCTGGTGAAGACAGACAGCATGTCTGCACAGGCCATTTTGGCCAACGAAGGTGGAAACTGGCGAACTCGCCATCTGCGCTTGAGATGTTCGTTTGCCAGGCAGTCCATTCTGGCAGGCGAGTGGTCAACACAACATGTGGCAGGAGAGTACATGCTGGCCGACATCGGCACCAAACCCCTGTCATCAGTGCGTTTTGAGTTTTTGAAAAAGCTCATGGGCATGGGCAGCTTGCCTATGAAAAGCGAAGAGAAGGTTGAAGTTGAAGAACAGTTGGAAGAAAAAGAGAAGGTTGAAGCAGAGGAGAAAGAAAGAAAGAAAGAAGAAGGAGAAAAGCGAAGTGAAAAGCAGGACGGCCGTGAGGCCAACAAAGATGGCCACCTTTTGGCCGAAGCTGCTCAGGTACTTCGTTTGATCACTCTGGCAGCGACTATGTCGATCTCGAAGGCGGAAAAAGATGGAGAAGGAGCGGAAGAGATGGTATCTTTTGAGATCATCATTCTCTACACCTTTGCGGTGGTCTTCATAACTTTGATGGCACAGCGTATTTGGGAAGCTGGAGTACGGGGATGGAGATTTCTGCGACAGCACGTGCTTGCTCAACCTGGAAGTCACCCTGGACGCGCTGTGGAAGGATCTACGAGCTCTTCCTCAAGGGAACCTTTGCGATCTACGGCGGCATCAAGCACAGGCCGTTCCATCGAAAAAACTGGACGATCATCGACTATGTCACCAGCTCCTCTACCAGACCAACATGCTCCGCTACCACGAGATCAACATGCTCAGCTACCACGAGTTCAACGACGTGCACAAGAACCAGAGCGATCCTTGAGAGGAGATGAAGCTCCGCTACCACATGATCAACCAGAAGGACCAACATCATCAACATCAGTGACTCAGCGTGATGTTCTACGTGAATGTGATGAAATTGAACGTGAAGAAAGGCTGGTAACAGCCGAGCTGAATCGAGCGTCTCCAGAGCATCCTCTTTTGGGGCCGCCAAGCCAGCAGTTGAATGAGTATGAAACAGTGGATTTTCCGTTCCTGGTGATCACGACGAAGTGCGGAACGGTATATCACTCTCACTGGAGTTGCCGATATTTAACTGCCTCGGCGACCGGTGCAAAAAAGATGCGAAGATGGTGCCTAGAATGCCGACGAGAAGCCGTTCAGTCAGGTGTTTTTCCATCACGTGGTGCAGCGATGTTCCTAACGAGCTGGGAAGCTGATGTGCACTCTAATCCAATGTGCGAACGTGCTGACAGAGCCAATGCTCTCAGCCTTTGCACAGTATGCCTTGATAGGTAGCTTGAGCTGGCTGAATTGACTCCACCTGACGGTGAGTCAAAGGGGGAGTGCTGGGAATCCAGTACATGTCCCATTTCATTTTCCCTTTGTGCCAGCAGGTTTCAAATTCATTTGTGCTGTGATCCGCAGCTACCTTTTAGCATTTGCCCAACGCTGCTGACTTCAGCGAATGGCGAAAACCCTTTGAGCAGCCGCTGTTTTGCAGGCGGGAAGACGGTGGAGGTGGCGAGCCTGGTAGGTGATTCTATCATAAACAATCCCCAATTTCACCATAAATAGGTGGTATAAACCATTCCCAAATGGGTGGTTCATTATTGTTTTAACCACATTAACTGCTACAAAAAACACAGGACTTTACCATGGCCTATCCATTTGTGAGGCCATGGACAGCATCCATCCAAGTCGTTTCAGCAAATTTGTTGAGCTGCTTGGCATGGGAAAGGATGACTTAAAGGGTGACTTAAAAGGTACGCAAAAGATATACGTACTTATCATTACTTATCTATGTTATAAATATATTGATGAAATATGTTCATGTGTATAAATTGTTAGCCAAATTTGTAAGTTGAAGCAACAAACGTGGATACGAAAATCGACTTAAATCAGGTTAAATCATGTTCAACCGACCTTTGTTGTACCAAGTAGCACCTGTTTTCACTGTCCATGGATAGTCCATGGGAGACCTCACTGTATCCACTGGCCGCTTTGTGCTTAGGAAGTTGCGCTTGGACGATCCGTTGGACTTCAGTGAAGGGGATCACGGTGTCTCTGGTGGCATCCAGGTGCGGCCCTGGTGAAGTCTGTAGCCCATTGAGATCCATTGAGGTGAGTGGAGATGATTGGTAAAACTAAATGAGGAAACTGGTGAAGTCTCAACAATCTTAAATCTGTACCTCAATGTGCTATTTTTGAGATTGGTTTCAGATTGTTGAAACATGTTGGAACATCGTCTCAGACACCCTAAAAAAGACGACTCCAGTTCAAAAGATCAGCTAATCATACCATTGGAATCCATGTGATGTTGTCAGTTGCGCACAAGAATCACAAAAAATGATCGATATTGTCAGTAGACCAGCCAAAAAAAACAGAAAATTGTCAAACATGGTCAAACGTAGTGTCAGTTGATTAGCATTAGATGTCTTGGACTAGAAAATCATATGGGTATGGGTCAAAATTAGGTACCCCAATAATTGGATGGTTAATACTAAACTAGACATTCACATCTGTGGTCCCCTAGGTCTTCCATTTTGACCCACATCCATATCAAAATCATCAACCAGACCCCATCTCTGCCCATCCCCACCGTGACCAGCCAGGTTTGGGAGGCGGCGAATCTGCACCCAACCAATGTGGCCTGGAACGAAGCCAAAATGTTGTATCAATGTGTCTCCTGCTATTGGGATACAACTTACGATGTAACATGATGTAACACTAAAAGACACATATATATATATTATATTATATATATATATATATATGTAATTATATATATTATGTATATATATATATATACAGATGGATGGAGATGGATTAGACATTATTAGACCCGATTGAGATTTAGCCAGATTCGCTAAGACATTAGACATTCGATGGATACGGAAATCGATGGGTTTCTTCGGGGGCCCAGGTGGATACCGTGAAGCGACTGGGGGGAGATCCCAAGCATCCCTTTCCTCTGGAGGAAGAACTGCAGACAGAGGCTGCGGCAGCTACCGCCCTGGTGCCGCCGACCCCCCTTTGTGGGGGGCATGGCAGTGGAAAGAAAGGAGTATGGCCACAGAATACAAAAATAAGTTTAATGTATGTATGTATGTATGTATGTATGTATGTATGTATGTATGTATGTATGTATGTATGTATGTATGTATGTATGCAATGTTATGTTATGTTATGTTATGTTATGTATGTTATGTTATGTAATTAATGTAATGTTATGTAATGTTATGTAATGTTATGTAATGTTATGTAATGTTATGTAATGTTATGTAATGTTATGTAATGTTATGTTATGTAATGTAATGTTATGTTATGTTATAGATAGATAGATAGATAGAGAGATAGATAGAGAGATAGATAGAGAGATAGATAGAGAGATAGATACCGAGATAGAGACATAGACACATAGACACATAGACAGATAGACAGATAGACAGACAGATTGACAGAGAGACAGAGAGACAGAGAGACAGAGAGACAGAGAGACAGAGAGACAGAGAGACAGAGAGACAGAGAGACAGAGAGACAGAGAGACAGACAGACAGACAGACAGATAGATAGATAGATAGATACCCTTTAAGCCCATATCTTGGTATGAAGAGGGATGCCAAGAGCAGCCGCCAGCTCGGGAAAAAGCACCCTTCGCCACGCTTCCCTCGCCACGCTTTAACAGCATGGCAGTGAAGGACGGAAGGCTTCTCGAAGGGTCGCTAGGTCGTGGCCCATTTGCTCTTTGAAACGCCTGTAGAACAAGGTTCAAAGGCCAGCCAAAAGGTTCAAAAACGTACGTTTTACCACGCCGAAACAGCATGGCACTGCAGGACTTATCGTGCCTTTTCGAAGGGCAGCTGGTCGTGGCGCCGAGCTCCTGAACTGGCAGGAAGGAGAACAGGCCGCTGCTGATGCTTCGCTGTCTCGGGCGCTTCCCCCTGCAATGGCAACGGCAGGGGTCGGCGGATAAATCAACCAATAAGTCAACTTGTGTTGTCATTATCAAATAGTTAATACGAATATATATATATATATACACATACATATAGCTATATATGTAGTTATATGTGTATATATATATATATACCAGTAGTACCGCACAAGGCGGTGGCGGAAGTTTCAAAAATAGGAAACCTATAGGAAGGATTGGTTGTTGTGACTCACGGATGGCAGAGCGAACCCACTGATGGACCGAAAGGTGGTTGGAGTTGTGTTTTCTGGAGTGGTTGCAATGGTTGCAGTGGCCACCTCACCACAACTGCTGGATGTAGTGTGGTGTTGTGCAGTTGTAGGTGTAGTTGTAGTTGTAGTGTAGTGGAGTTGTAGTTGTAAGTTGTAGTTGTAATGTAGTGTAATTAGTGTAGCTGCAGTTGCAGTTGTAGTTGTGGTGTGGTGTAGCTAGCGCAGTGTATTGTATACTGTAGTGTTGTGTACTGTAGCGTGGTATAGTGTAGTGTAGTCTAGTGTGTTGTAGTGTAAAGTAGAGTAGTTGTAGTGTAGTGTCGTGTAGTGCAATGTAGTGGTAGTTGCAGTTGTACCGTAATGTAATGTAATTAGTGTAGTGTAGTGTTGTGTGTAGTGGTAGTTGAATTTGCATTTGTAGCTGTAATATACTGCAGGTTAATTAGCGTGTTGTAGTGTAGCTGTAATTGTGGTGGTGGTGGTGGTGGTTGTGGTGGTGGTGGTGGTAGTAGTCGTAGTAATCGTAGTAGTCGTAGTAGTCGTAGTTGTCGTAGTAGTCGTAGTAGTCGTAGTAGTCGTAGTAGTCGTAGTAGTCGTAGTAGTCGTAGTAGTCGTAGTAGTCGTCGTAGTAGTAGTAGTAGTAGCAGTAGTAGTAGTAGTCGTCGTAGTAGTCGCCGCCGCCGTCGTCGTCGTAGTAGTAGTAGTTGTTGTTGCTGTTGTAGTAGTTGTAGTGTAATTAGTGTATATAGTGTAGTGTAATTAGTAGATATAATTAGAGTAGTGTAGTGGGTGTTGTGTAATGTAGCGTAGTATATTTGTACTTGTAGTAGTAGCGTAGTGTAGTGGCACTTGTAGTTGCAGTTGTAGTTGTCTGTCTGTCTGTCTGCCTGCCTGCCTGCCTGCCTGGCTGCCTGGCTGCCTGCCTGCCTGCCTGCCTGTCTGTTGCCTGCCTGCCTGTCTGCCTGCTTGCCTGCCTGCCTGCCTGCCTGCTTGCCTGCCTGCTTGCCTGCCTGCTTGCCTGCCTGCCTGCCTGTCTGTCTGTCTGTCTGTCTCTCTGTCTGTCTACCTGCAAGCTTGAAAACGAAGCTATTCTGCGAGACGTCCTCAGTTTTTGAACTTGACAGCATCAACAAAAACGCAGCAATTCTGCGAGACGTCCTTAATTTTTGAACTTGACAACGTCAAAAACGAAACAATTCTGCAAGACTTCCTCATTTTCCGAAGTTGACAACATCAAAAACGAAGCAATTCTCCGAGACTTCCTTCAAAAATGGAAAGTTGAGTGCAGAGCTGACGGCCTTGTACCAATACGTTTTGCGATTTTTCCACTCCACCTGTCTAAAGTATTGCGCCTGCCAGGAAAAAGTGAGGCCAGGTCATACAAAGCGCTGCACCTGTCACGCAAAATCATCTTCCCAAAACTGAAGATCTGATGCTCCAAAATGCAACCTCTCTGAGGAAATCAGCGCCCGGACCTCCTAACATCTCTGATAAACATGTCTCTTGTACTGCGCCTGCCACGGAAAATGCATCTTTGCAGACCCTCTTCAAATGTCCCACGCCTGCCATCGCTTTTGGAAATGCTACACAAAACCCTCACGTTTTGCTCATTCTTGACAACGTGCGCACAATCCCTTGCGCCTGCCACGCGAAACGACATCTGAACGTCCAAAAGTGCTCCGAACCTGTCATTTTTTTGCACTTTTGACTTCGAAATGTGCTTCGCCCCACTACGGCGTGCAATTTTTCGACATCGCAACTTCTAAAAGTGCCCCGAACCTGAGGTGCTTTTAGCTTTTTCACTTGCAAATGTGCTTCGCGCCACAACGGCGTGCACTTTTTCGACATCGCAACTTCTAAAAGTGCTCCGACCGTGAGGTATTTTTAGCTTTTTCACTTGCAAATGTGCTTCGCGCCACAACGGCGCGCACTTTTTCGACATCGCAACTTCTAAAAGTGATCCGAAGCTGAGGTCCTTTTGTACATTTTGACTTGGAAATGCGCTTCGCGCCACAAAGGCGCGCAACTTTTCCTTTTCGACCCTCCGCAGCCACAAATCATTGGAAAAACACAGTGTTTCGTGACTTTTCTATTTTTTCGCGCACCTGCATCTTCTGTCTTCTGACTTTTTCTCTTCTCTCACTCTTCCCACCTTTTCTTTTTCATCTGCCCATATTGTCGGAAGTTTGACTTCTAAACTTCCTTCGACGAAGCTGATATCATCATGATATCGAGCATTATCGAGCTGATATTATCGATATCAACTAATCCTCAGTGGCAGTCCCAGCAGTCACCACGCATTTCTGGAAGCGAAGCTTGGAAACCACGTGCTAGGCCGACAAGTGCCGAAAAGTGTTCCATCTCTTTCAGAAGCAGATGATGCCGCTTGGAGTTTTTGTGGCCACGGTTTTCAGAAACCTTGTAGTTTGTATTGGTTTTATGTTGCTTTTAGTGAGTGGCAAGTGGCTATTCGCTAGTTTCCTGTCTACTTAAACCCATCATATCTATCATACATCGGAATATGGCCTGTGGATATTCGATATATTTCGATGTGTCCAAGAATCTGCTGAAACAGAATTGTCAGGGTCTTCAGGGTCTCCCAAATCCGTCAGCGCGGCAGAACCGGCCTCAGGGCGGTGAAAGGTGAGGCATCAGCCTGGGACCTCAGCCTTAACAAATAAGGAAAAATCCATTCGAATCCACTCAAAGTCAACCAGACCTCGCATGATCTTCTCACGGGTTCCTTTGGGGTCCCTTTTCTGTCAACTTGAGGTTTCATCTTTGGGACCTTCAAGTGGCACAGCGCCCTCTGTGAACTCTGTGAACTCTGTACGGAACTCATTTGGCAATGCCGCAGCCTCTCAGACCCTCCACTGCCTTTGTTGGCTATGTCTTGATCGCCCTTTGCAGTATTTTGACGGGACTTAAAAATTTTTGAATTCTCACCACCCTTTCTGCAATCAAGACAAAGTCATTTCACACTGTTTGTAGGTTGTACACCGCGATGTTACTGAGGCAGAGCTCACCATGGCAACGCTGAACAGTTAATGGCGAGGGGTGCTGGCGTAGTTGGCATAGCTGGCGTAGTTTCAATCGGCCCAGCGTGATGAAGGGTTCCACCATGCTCTATTGGTCTGGAAGCGATCATCAAGCTGACATCAGCTGATCTTGTCTGTGGCAAATGAGATAAAAGAGGACGTAATTCCATGTAATTCCATTTCCTGCCGTTCTTGTTTCTGCAAAATGTCGCGAAACAAGCAAAGATGGCTAAGTTTTTTTCCATAGGAGCAGAGGAGCTGCACCTGAGACATCCTGAGACATCCTGAGAGCTGAGACAATGCGTTGTGGAATGTGGATCCACATGGCAATGAATAAAAGCAAACGGATGCTCTTTAGCAATTTCTGAATCAATTATATACTAGCAGCTAAATCTCACAATCCTTTACGACGAGACGTTTAGTCTGCTGAACAATGGGGTGAGTAAGAGTTTGACATGTACAACCGGGTACAGTACTGCACTTTCTAGTTGCATTCTTCTTGGGATTTCTGTTTTGCAGTCAAGAGAGTTCGTTGCCAGTAGCAGCTGCTCTGTGGAACGTGGTTGGCACTTCCTTAAAGGATCACGTGCCATGTAGCATCCACCTCTGAATGTGGTACGGCGCCTGGGCCAGCAGCTGCCAGCAGATAGATCACTGTAGGCTATAGATGATGTGTCGAGAAAAGGCTGTTGGTTTACATTATTTAGACACATTTAGACATATAAACATTATGTCATATTATGTCATTGATAATTTTCGAAACGCTGCCTCCAAGAAATATCAAGAGATATTCGGACTGCCAAGACATACCTCATATATCCTGATAAATCATTGTTGCTTCGCCCCCAAATGACTGACTGAACAGAGCCACTACTGTCACAATTGTCAATATTTATCAATATCGTCCTTTGTTTAAGTTTCAAAACGAAGGATGAAATTGCACATTAACATTGATATCATTGATGAGCTATTCTTTTGTGCATGAAAAGTCGTAAAAAAATGTCCAGATTTGGCCTTCGGGTCCCACCACGAGTGGAGGCATTTGGGACGGCGTCGGCGATATGAAGCTGAAGAAACTGCTGCCGATATGCTGCGATGCCCCTCTCACATCTTTACCAGGGTCTAATAAACAGTAATACGCATGCCTAAACGGATCCTAAGCAATAGAAAGTGAAAGATAGTGGATTTGAATGCCAAAGACAGTGTAGGTTGCAAGGCTGGCCATACTATTTTTTGGGGTTGATAACAATGGCTGAAAAGTCCACTTCAATTTGCACACAATGTTGAGCTTTCCAAGTCTGGATCTCCGCACAGGAGGATGCGGAGAAGATCGCCCAAAATGCCAAGGAGTCACCGAAGTCGTCTTTCCATGTGGCAGGGATGCTTAGCGCTGGGAAACTTCGCCGATTCACCGGATAGTTCAGTCGATGAAAGTTGATGTAAACAAGCACTTCTGATCAAGTCGATTCTAGATGATTCTTTCTCAGTCGATTCGGAGCTAGGTCACTTCTCCGTAGGACATGAGGAATGGGCCAAGTGACCAGGGTGTCAAGTGACAAGTGCACTGATGTCTTTTTGGCCTAAGGGAAGACACTGTGGGAATTGAGGCGTCACCGCCACCGCCACCTAAAGAAATTGGTTTCAAGAAGGCACTCGGGGACGAAATGGAGCAACTTGCCCAGTATTCAAGTAGCATCAAGGAGCTGTGTTTTCAAGTAGCGTCATAGGGGCAAAAGATTCTGCTGGTTAGGGCGATGGATTTGGCAAGATATTGTGACACGTGTGTGAGTGTGTGTGTGTGTGAAATGGTGTGCGTTGGTGCTAAATATGTATGATTATATATAAATAATATGTATGTAACTATAATATATATATATAATATATACTATGGTTAGTTAGGGTAGGCCTTGCCCATCTTCCCATCATCATATAACCCTGCACCCCTCCCTACACTTTCACCATCATTTCATAACAATCTCAAAAAAACATCATTCTAAAACATCATCTAACCAAGATTTCAAAACAATCTCTCAACTCAATCTTTCCAAAACTTCATTCAACAAAACTTTCATAACAATCTCAAAAAACCATCATTCAAAAACGTCATTCAACAAAAATTTCATAACAATCTCTCAACTCAACCTTTCCAAACTATCATTTCAAAACAGTCTCAACAATAATAATAACACAAATCATTTTGAAGATGTAAGCCAACATAGTAATCTTCAAAAGGATTTTGAACAAGTAACCTACATAACCAAAAACCATCATCAACCAAATACGGGCAAGGTCCTCCTCATAGAATTTAACAAAAAAAATCACACAATACCTTAGGAAGATTTCTTTTAATATACTCTTTCCCTGAAAAGGTGGATTTTCCAAGAAATCTTCGTAAAGTATTATGTAAATGTTTCTTTAAAAGGGTTTTTTTAACAAAAAAATATATCATTTTTAGACATTGTGAAAAGTAATTGACAAAACGTTTTTCAAAAGTTCCTACCAAAGTTCAAGTAGAAACAAGTTTCTGGTTAACTGCCCTTGAAAAAAATTACTAGCACCCCTTATACACGAACATGTTAATGTCAAGTGTATCTGTTTAAAAGCAAGTCGTATCTTATTCAGTATTAGAAATGAAGTCTAGGAGAAATAGACACAAAAAAAATCAATAGCAATTTTTGGAAAGTAATTCTGAAAAAATATCAGTTTTGTTTCAGTCATTATCTACAACTACAATTACACCTGTCGCAATATGGTATTATATTGTCCAATGTATGGGTATATTCATTATTAACCCTTTGGGCTGTTAGGTTTGTTGTTATATTTCCCCCTTTTATGATTGTATGAAATCCACATCCACAATAATTACATTGGTTAGTTATATTATCAAAAAACCATTCAACATTTACATAACCTTCTTTTGGTATTTTTCTTTTTGCCTTTCTATCCTGTTGCTTGTAATTTTCAATTTTTCTTTCATATTTACTTCTCATACATTTATGATTAAAATCATCATTTACATCATCACTATATTTATACAATTTTACCTTGTTTAAATCCCTTGCTCTTGTAATTGCAGTCCATAACCACTCTCTATATTTTTTAATGTCATAATGGTGATAATCAAAAATTGTTATGTCTCCATCAATGCTACTACCTTGGGCTGAATGGCAGGTAGTGCAGTGGGCGAATATGAAATTGTCCCTTACCTTTTGAATTTTTAAGGATTGTAGTATATTAGTTTTAGTGTTTTTCAATGTCATAACTCCATCCTTTCCAATATGGACTATCTTATATTTGAAATTTACATTAAAAACTGATGTCAGGGTTTTAGTGTATTCTCTACATATCAAGAATTCTCCTACTTCATATTCATCTTTTCTATTTTCCAGTTTCCTAATTTCACTTGCTACATTCTTACAAGTATCATTTAAGTAGGCAATGTTGTGTTTTGAACCACTTATACTAGTAGTATATCTGAAATATGTTTCAATTATTTTGTTGAAAGGAAGTTTATTTACAAAAATATCAGTTTTTACATTTCTTAATTTGTCCTTATCCTCTTGTGTTTTCAATCTCTTACATTCTTCTAATAATATACTATTTGTAAAGATATTGTTAATGATATGGTCTGCATATACTTCATACTCTTGAATGTTAGTTAGTGGTTGAATAGGTTTTAATTGCTTGGTGTCCCCGGTAGCAATTACTATTTTGTTATGCTTGTTGTTTTCTACAAACTGTTTTATTCTCCAATAAGTGCTTAAACTACTAAAATAAATCTCATCAAACACTATAACATCATACCCTGAATAATCAAATGGTTCTAACTTTACATCACCAAAACTTATACCAAAAAACTTATTCAATGTTAAGGCGTCTCCTTCAAATTCTTGTAGTAATCTATTAGTAGGACATACAAACATGACCTTATAACCTTTATCTACCATTTTCTGACATATAAATGATTTTCCAGTTCCTGGATAAGTCCCCCTTATCATCATTGGATTATTATTCTTAATAACTTCAATGATATTGTCAGTGTCGTATTCATTTTTAATTTCAATGACTTTATGTTCATAAGTTGGTATTTCAATAATTTCATTTATTGCAATTTCATATTCTACACTTGGTATTTTAATATCTTCATACTTGCTAATTCTCCATCCTCCAATTCCATTATGGAAGTTCAATATCTCTTGTGTCCTCTCTTCATCACATCTTTGAATTACAAATGCATCAGTTTTAACACTATATACTTTAACACCATTACTTCTTAACTTATAGTAGTCTTGATACATTTTGAAGTTATGGTATTGTAAAAGCAATTCCTTCATGTATCTAAATCCATTTTGTAATTGGGCTTTGTCCTTCAAATTTAATACATAATAGCTTTCAGCTTCACTCTCATATTCATTCATTTTCAAACTGTCAGCACTCTTTGTTTCAATATGTTCAACTTCAACATCAGTCAGTTTATGTATTTTGCCCCCGTATTCTATTTGATAATTCACTGCTTCTTTCAGGTGCTTAAAGACCATGCTCTTTTGACTGGTTGAGCCCCCTTTTTCCAGAAGTCCAAAATTTATATTGGCAATGAGTTTTTTGATAGTCTTGTCTAAATCGGAATTGCTACTGATTTCATGCTTCCATAATTCATCAATGATTTCTTTGTAATTACACTTCTTGAAGGTTGTTTGTAATACAAAATTCTTATTCTACCACACATAACCTTTTTCAAAAATAGACCATATATCAAACAATACTTTTTGTTGAATAAAAGCTTCCTGTTAAATAGTTCCTCCTTAACCTCAACATAATATAAAGTCAAATCATGTAAGTTTGTAATATCAACGTTGTCAGTATAAACTTGCCAAATGTCAAACTGATTGAACACTGGAATTTCATTCATACTCATGAATGCTAATGTAAATGCCTTGGATACATCTGCTTCAAAAACATCAGTTGGAAAAGCCTTAGCGCAACAAAAAAGACCTGATGGAACTATCGTCC